AAATAATCCTTTTCCGTCCTTTTCCCCACCATTTAAATATACCCTTACTTATTAACTGTTAAATGCTCAAATAGATTGCTGCTTTTTTTGTAGATTCCTTTATTGTCTGTCCATTCATACATTTGACTACCCCATTTTTGGTCCCAAACTCTTATAAACACTATAATTGTATCACCTGTTAGAATTAGGATAGGTTTATACCACCCTCCCCACTGTTTTCAATATTTTCTTATCTATTGTTACATATAGGCATACCCCAGGGGTGGTATTTGTTCAGCTCCAGACCACTGCAGTAACATGAGTATGACAATAAAGTGAGTCAGAAGAATTTTTTGGTTTCTCAGGTGCATATAGAAGTTGTGTTTAATCTGTAGTCAAGTCTACAATAGCATTATGTATACAGACACAGTATACATGCCTTAATTAAATACTTTATTGCCAAAAAATGCTAATCATCATCTGCGCTTTCAGTATTCTTTTTGGTGGTGAAGGGCCTTACCTCAGAGTTGGTAGATGCTGACTGATCAGGGTGGTTGTTACTGAAGGTTGGGGTGGCTGTGACAACTTTTTAAAATAAGACAACAGTGAAGTTTGCCACATTAATTGACTCTTCCTTTCATGAACTATTTCTCTATAGCGTACCATGCTGTTTGATATCATTTTACCCACAATACAACTTCTATCAATATTGAAGTCAGCCCTCTCAAACCTTGCTGCTGCTTTCTCAACTGAGTTGATGTAATATTCTAAAACCGTTGTTTTCATTTCAACAATCTTTGTACTGTCTTCACCATGAGTAGATTCCTTCTCAAGAAACTATTTTCTTTGCTCATCTGTAAGAAGCAACTCCTCTTTGGTTCAAGTTTTTATCATGAGATTGCAGCAGTTGAGTCACATCTTCTGGCTTTGCTTCTAATTCTAGTTCTTGAGCTGTTTTATCAACATCTTCAGTTAACTTCCTCCACTTAAGTCATCCGTGAGGGTTGGAGTCAACTTCCAAACTCCTGGTAATAATTATATTTTGACCTCTTCCCATGAACCACAAATGTTCTAGAATGGTGAATCCTTTCCAGAAGATTTCATTTTACTTATCCCAAATCCATCAGAGGAATCACTGCCTGTGGCACACACATATATATATATAGCCTTACCAAATATATTTCTTAAATTAAAAGACTTGAAAGGTGAAATGACTCCTTGATCCAGGAGCTGAAGGATGGATATTGTGTCAACAAGAAAACAGCATGACTCTCATTGTACATTTCCGTTGGGACTCTTGGGTAACCAGGTGCATTGTCAATGAGCAGTAGTATTTTGAAAGGAGTCTCTTTTTCTCTGAGCATTAGATCTCAACAGTGGGTTTAAAACATTTGGTATACCTGTTGTCAACAAATGTGCCGCCATCCAGGCTGTTTATAGAGCACAGACATAATGCTTAAGGGTCCTAGAATTTTTGGAATAGTAAATGAGCATTAGCTTCAACTTAACGTTATCAGCTGCATTAACCCTTACTGAGAGTCAGCCTGTCTTTTTGAAGCTTTGAAGGCAAGGCATTGACTTCTCCTCTCTAACTATGAAAGTCCAAGATGTCATCTTCTTCCAATATAAAGCTTCTTGATCTACATTGGAAATCTGTGTTCAGTATGGCTACCTTCATGATTTATCTTAGCTAGATTTCCTGGATAATTTGATATAGCTTCTACATCAGTACTTGCTACTTCACCTTGCACTTTTATGTTATAGAGATGGGTTCTTTCCTTAAACCTCATGATTCAACTTCTGCTACCTTCAGACTTCTCCCTGGCAGCTCCCTTAATCTCTCTAGCCTTTGTAGAATTGAAGAGTTAGAGCCTTGGTCTGGATTAGGCTTTGTCTTAAGGGAATGTTGTGGCTTGTTTGATCTATCCAGACCACCAAAATTTTCTCTATATCAGCAGTAAGGCTCTTCTGCTTTCTTATCATTCATGTGTTCACTGTAGTAACACTTCTAACTTCCTTCAAGACCTTCCCTTTTGCATTTACAACTTCACTGGTTTTTGGTGCAAGATGCCTACCTTTCAGTCTCTCTTAGCTTTTGACATGACTTTCTTACTAAGCTTAATCATATCTAGCTTTTGATTTAAACAGACATGAGACACACTCTTTCACTTGAATACGAAGAAGCCATTTTAAGGTTATTATTGGCCTCATTTCAATATTGTTGTGTCTCAGACAATAGTGAGGTCTGAGGAGAAGAAGAGAGATGGGGAACAGCCAGTCAGTGGAGCATTCAGAACACAGTATTGATTAGGTTCATCGTATTATATGGGCATAGATTGTGCTGCCCCAAAACAATTACAGTAGTAACATCAAATATTGCTGATCACAGTTCACTATAACAAATAGAATCATAATGAAAAGTTTGAAATATTGTGAGAATTAGCAAAATGTCAGAGACACAAAGTGAACAAATGCTGTTGGAAAAATGGCACCAATAGTCTTGCTCGACACAGGGTTACCACAAACTCATTTGTAGAAAATGCAGTATCTGCAAAGTACAATAAGACAAAGTGCAGTAAAATGAAATTTGCCTGTAATTATTTTTACAGATGCGTTTTAGTAGCTAATACTTGGTTGTGTTAGCATCTGTTCACTTCATCTCCAAAAACATTTTTTTCCCTAAGTAAAAGAATTTAATGTATTGGTTAATTTAGGGAGAACTGATAGCTTTATAACACTGTTCCTCTGGGAGTTTAATATTTTCTTAAAGATCTTGTATATTTTAAAAATATTTCTAGATAGTTGACATTTTGTAATCATTGGAATCTTATATCCCATTAGTTTTAAATTTTTGTTTTGGTGAAATACACATAACACCAAATTAACCACTTTAACTATTTTTAAGTGTACAGTTAGTGGCATTAGGTACATTCACATTCTTGTTTAACCATCATCTCCAGAATGTTTTTCATCTTCCTAAGCTGTAGCTCATTAAACAATAACTTCCAGTTCCTTCCTCCTATCTCCTCGTAACCATTATACTTCCTATCTCCATGGAGATAGGAAGTATAATGATACTCATATAAGATACCCATATAAGTAGAATCATATAGTATTTGTTGTTTTACAACTGGTTTACTTTACTTAGCATAAGCATAATATTTCCAAGGTTCATCCATGTAGTGGTGTCAGAATTTCCTTTTTTAAATATTTCACTGTATGTATATACCACATATTGTTTATTCATCTGTTAGTGCATATTTTGGTTGCTTTCACTTCTTCCTGTTGTAAATAATGTTACTAAAACATGGGTGTACAAATATCTCTTCAAATCCCTGCTTTCAGTTCTTCTGGGTATATGCAGTTGACCCTTGAATAACAGAGGTTTGACCTGTGTGTGTCCACTTATATTTTTTTCAATAAATATATACTGGATTTTTTTCAGTAAATATATTGGAAAATATTTGGAGATTTGCAACAATTCAAAGAAACATTTTTTCCTCTGGCTTCTTTATTGTAAGAATACAGTATATAATACATACAACATACAAAATTGTGTTAACTGACTGTTTATGTTATCAGTAAGGCTTCCAAGCAGCAGTAGTCTATTAATAGTTGAGTATTTGGGGAGTCAAAAATTATTTATGAATTTTCTACTGCACAGGGAGTCAACACCTCTACCCCTGCATGGTTCAGTGGTAAAAAGTAGAACTGTGGGATCATGTAATTGTTTCATTCTTTTTGGAAGCCACCATACTGTTTTCCATAGCAACTGCACTATTTTACATTTCCACTGGTAGTGAACAAAGGTTCTAGTTTCTCTGCATCTTTGCCAACACTTTTCTGTTTGTTTATTGCCGTCCAGATGGGTGTGAAGTGGTATCTCATTGTGGTTTTGGTTTTTGTTTCCCTAATAATTAGGGAATGTTGCTAGGCATCTTTTCATGTATTTAATAGCCATTTATGTATCTTGTTTGGAAAAATGTCTATTCAAGTCCTTTGCCCATTTCTAATTAGGTTGTTTGTTGTCAGGTTGTAGGAATTCTTTATATATTATGGATATTAACACTTTATCAGATGTATAATTTGCAAGTATTTTCTGTAATACCATGGATTGCCTTTCACTCTATTGATAGTGTTCTTTGCACATACATGTTTAAGTTTGAGGTAGTTCCATTTGCCTATTTTTGGTTTCATTGTTTTTAGTGTTACCAAGAAGTCATCCCCAAATCCAATGTTACAAAGATTTTACCCCTTGTGTGTTCTTCTAAGATTTTTATACCTTTAGCTTTTTAATTTTGGGTCTTTGATCCATCTTGAGTTAACTTTTGCATCTAACATAAGGGTTCGAAACTCATTCTTATGCATATGAGTATCTAGTTTTTCCATGATTTCTTGAAATGTCCTTTTCCCAATGAGTACTTGGCATCCTTATCAAAAATCCTTGGACCTAATATGTCAGGTTTATTTCTGGACCCTCTGTTGCATTCCATTAGCCTATCTTTATGTTAGTAACTTGCTGTTTTGATTACTGTATTTTTGTAGTGAATTTCAAATTGTTTATTTTTATATATACTAGTGATATCATTAATTAGTAGCCAGATATCTTACTGAATTCTCTTCAGTTTTTCAGTTATACAAGGATAAATCATGTCTATTGGAAATGATAAAATACTGCTGCTCAAATTTTATTGTCTAATTACATTGGCTTTAAAACATTGTTAAATAATTATGTTGGTTACATACTGTATTTCTTTTATCTTGTTTAATGGAAATTCTAATACTTCACCATAAAGTATAGTACAGCTTTTGGTTTAAGACATACTCCTAAACTTTTTTGAGGTTGACATCAAAAACTTAATTGTAGTTTGACACTAATTGCAGTTTGTTCCCATCCTGCTTTAACAGAGGAAGTAGAATATTGGTCTGAAGGTATCATGGAAGGGCTGCCTAGTTTTGGAGTTCATATGTATCACCTACTGTCAAAGGACTGTAAATAACTGACTTTTTCTCTTTTTCAGAATGGCCAAAGTTTTTTGGTTTTGGATGAGCAAAGATTTGCAAAAGAAATTCTTCCCAAATACTTCAAGCACAATAACATGGCAAGTTTTGTGAGGCAACTGAATATGTGTAAGTAATGAACAGCAGTTTACGTGGAGTACTGTCATCAGCCACTGATCAAACCATTTTTTTTCCCATTAGGTTGATAAAGGAAAGTGCATTCCATAGAACTACCATTAATTGTTTACTTTTATCTGTTTCAGTCATGTGAATTTTTAATCTTTTTCAGATGGTTTCCGTAAAGTAGTCCATATTGACTCTGGAATTGTAAAGCAGGAACGAGATGGTCCTGTTGAATTTCAGCATCCTTATTTCAAACAAGGCCAGGATGACTTATTGGAGAACATTAAAAGGAAGGTGAGTTAATGTTAAAATAATTTAATTTGGGTGTTCTTACATTTTAGCTGTGGAAATTAAGGATGTACAGAAATACACAGGTGTTCCTTGTTGGGATGACTTGGACTAGTAAAGCTTTAATATTTGCCCTCTATTTCATATTTTTTCCCCCGTACTCAACTCTCTTGAAGACTCAGTCTTCAAACACCTTTTAGAGGGGAGAAAAATATTTACATTCTGACTGAAAGTAAGTAGTAATCCGTATTGGAATGGCTCACTTCTAATTCACTCTAAAAATGTAAACTCCTGCTAGAATGTCAGCTCCATGGAGGGTTTTTCTGTAGTTCGCTGCTGAATAATCAATGCCCAGAAAAAGTCCCTTGTATATAGCAAGTATTTAATAATACATTTTTGAAGGAATGGTATCTTTTGCTGAAATAGATATTTTTCCTAAATCTACCAAAGGGGATATAAAAGGGTAGTGGACTATGAAAGTAAATGGCCTACCATGCAGCTGTTACTGCATAAATTTAATTAAATGTGAAATGTGATAAGAGGCTTGAGGAAATTACAGTGAGTTTGGCAGAAGGAAATGAAAAAAAGAAAAGCCTATAATATTTTCCTGCTTGTGGAAATTTCTCTACATTAAAAAAAAATTGATTATTCCTTATTCTCCCTCTTTGGCAGTGAATTTTTTTCTTTTTCTAGAATCCTATCCTGGGCTTTTTAGAACTAGATTCCATTTCCTGAACAGACTATAAAAATAGAAATACTAATAATATGAAAACTTTGAATTAGAGTCATGGTGTTTAATATTTGATTTCCTAAATTTTCTTTTTGAAAGGTTTCATCTTCAAAACCAGAAGAAAATAAAATACGTCAGGAAGATTTAACAAAAATTATAAGTAGTGCTCAGAAAGTTCAAATAAAACAAGAGACTATTGAGTCCAGGCTTTCTGAATTAAAAAGGTTAAGTATTATTTTCAAATACAATCCTATGAGGAGTGTGTGTGTGTGTGTGTTTTAGGGGTTGAGGTTGTTGCTTTAAGTACTTAAATCAAGTTGGTGAAGCCAAGATTAAAGGTTATTTTTCTGTAAGTATTTGTTCCCTCTATTTTTGATTTATGGCCATAGGCTTTAACCTATTATATTTTCTTGAAGGTGATTGAAAGAATATATAAACCAGGGTAATAAAAACAATTTGATTTACAAGTCTTACTGATGAAACAGTAGATCTTTAAGTTGGTGTAGGAAGTATTATTCTACTTAGGTTTGCTTTCATATGATGTTCACACATATAAGGGCAGACAAAGCATTAAAAAATGCTACATGTGTTACTCATTCTTTTATGGTGGTTTCTTAACACTTCTCTTTGTGGACTATCTCTGAGGGAAAAAAAGGACACCAAAAACAGGGAGAAAAGGGCACCTGAGATTTGCTCTACTTGAAACTTTACATAGATGTGAGAAAGTGTTATGCAAATCTTTTATCTAAAGAAAGATGCTTTATTTTGTTTTACTACAATTCTTGGGACCATTATCCTACCTTGCCTAAGTAAGAGTTTGTATAGAGAGTAGATAGGTACTTTTCTTAGCTAGTAGTTCAGATTTTCTCTTATCCTAATAGGTGCCAAGGTATTGAGAGTAGTTATTTTATGTGTTCTCTCTTCCATTTCAAATGTGGGACATAAGTTTGGCTATCTTAACTCAAGAATCTTCATTAAAAGAGTAGCCTTGGACTTTTATTTTCTTTTTGAATAAAACTTAATTTTAAGTTTTCCAGGTTTACATATTTCATTTAACCTTTATACTGGCTTACTCTGTGTACCTTGTATCTTACTAAGGTACCCTTTGATCCAAATCCTTGAGTCTCTGGTTTAGCCCTAAAGGAATAGGATCCCAAATTGATTCTGTAAGTCTCAGAGGTAACTGTTTTCCTACTTATCTTTAGTAGACAGATGACAGTATTATAAAATACCTGTGTCAGAAAACTACCATAGTTATTCAGTAAGTATTAGAGTCTCATTTTCAATATCCTTTATAAATCCGTTCCCTTTTGTAATAGGTTAGATTGAGGAACTTCAACTTTTGTGGAAGTTAACTAAAGAACAAAAAATTAAGCACTTAATAGGTGGATTATCTTTCATGTTGTCAGCATTATCATTACTGCTAACATTTAATAACAGTGCAATTTCAGAAAAGAATCGTGAATGTGGGAAAAGAAACATTACTGGGAAAGTTTGCAGTTTATCATATGTTTAGATATGCTTAAAACAATTTTTTGTATTTTCATATGCTTGTGTTTGAGATAGATCTTAAGATTGACAGTTCTCAAGTTGGATGGACTTCAGTGCAACTTCAGTACTTGCCAAATGATCCTGGGCAAGTCCTCTCAATTCTTCATTTTAGTGTCATCATCTGTAAAGATGATAATTTTTCTTGACGGTTTTTAGAGAAGTTTAAATAAGTAATTTATAAAATACTTACTATAGTGCCTGGAGCATAGCAAGTGCTGGATAAACATCACTTCCCTTCAAGAATTGCTTCCTAAGCACAAGTCCTGAATTCACTTGGTAGCCACAGTTGAAGGGTTAGGTTATTTTTTGAACAAGAAAATATGAGCCAGATTGTCAGAGTAAATTTCACCGTATGGATGTAGATGTGAGTCTTAAATTTTTGTGTTTGTATTGCCATAAATAGAAAATACTGTAATTAAGAAGGAATGATTCTGGAGTTGTGTCTAAATAGTTACCATTCTTGTCATTGTACCAAAGTTTTCCTAATCTCATAAAAATCTGTAGTAAAACTGGTTAAGTTCTTTGTTCTTTTGTATTCTTAATTAAAAACACTGAGGTCTGGCTTCCTGACTGAGTTTTTTTGGTTTTATTTTTCATAAATATTAACATAGTGAGAATGAGTCCCTTTGGAAGGAAGTGTCAGAATTACGAGCAAAACATGCACAACAACAACAAGTTATTCGAAAGGTAAGCTTTTTTCCCCATGCCCATAATCTGCATTTGTTTAATGAGGACCATTTGTGAACCAAAAAAGTCTCTCTTTGAATAATCACTGATTGAACTTAACATCTTACATATTAGGTGCACAGACAGAGCAAAACTATGAATTCAAATTAAGCCAAATGTTATATATCCTTGAATAAAAAACATTTCTCTTTAGCTAAATACAGTCATTCCATACTCCCAGCTTTTCATAAATGTTCTTTTGTCTGATAAACCAACTTTAAAGATACTTTATTAAGAATATAATGAATACATTACCAATTTCTTAACTATTTTTACTGTGAATGATATAACCTTACTCTGGGGGGATTTTTGTTGTTGTTTTTACAGTTTACTCTAGAAGGCATAGATACCAGTTTAAGAAGAAGAATGACTAATATTTTCAAATCAGACCACATTATTAGTTCAAAAAGATGAGTTGTTAGTGTATGGCATTACTCGTCTGTGCAGAAAAGCAGTTAATGTAGTGTTGTAAAATAAATCCTAGATTTTAGTATCTGAACTGATAATCTGAGATTCTCAGTGAGGGCATTGAAAATCTCTGTTGCATTGTGTTCTTGTGATTTAATCTTTTCATATCAGCTTTCGTATATTAATAAGAGGTGAGACATAAAAGTAATTCAGGCAGCTATTTTTTACCCATGAGTAAACTGGACTCTAAGCAACAGGTTTTTTTAGGGAGGGAGGATGAGAGAGCTTCTGCTTGTTAATAAGTTCAGAGGACTTTAGCTAAAAATAGGGTTATGCCTGACAGGATCTGGATAGTGAAGTAGGCTTAGAACAACGGATGAATGGTAGTTGTAACCTTTGGCCTACGGTCAAATAGATGTCTTTTCAAAATCAGTATGCAAGTGAAGGTTGAATGTATAATTCAGTTCTAAGGGTTTCATCCAAGCACATATGTTTTCACAAGTTCCATAGCTGAGTCCAACATGGAGAACTATTAAGAATATCTGATTTAAAATGATAGTTGTACCTTAACCTGTACTTTATTTTAAAAATCTCTCAGTCTTTTTCAGGGAACAATATTTTTCTAGGAAATAATGGTTTTATATATGTATATTAACTTATAATACTACATAATTTGTTGGGTATGTTTTTCCTAAAAGAGAGTTGGTAAAATACTTAATGTAATGTAACATTTCAGTCTTTTCTTGAAAGCTAACATTAAGTCTGCTCAAATTTTAGTTTGAATCTATGTGTTTTGGTGAGTTTAAGGACTTTACATAATACATGAGGATAGCTGATAATTTTTTCTCTATTCCTAGAATTGGTTCCTAACTGCCATTTACTCTTTGGCCTTGGACTAATTGGAATAGTATATGTGAGGTACCTGTTGTGGGACTTGTCAGGTATAGAAGTTAGATGGTGTAAACATTAGATTCCTTATCTTCTCCTTCAGGAAACAAGTTTTCTACAACATGATGCAAAAGTGTCAAAAGAGAACTGAGATGTAGAACAATTTCAGGAGAAATTTAGCCAGTGACTCATGATCTTATAAACTCAATCAGTAATATTTTCAGAACTTTGCCCTAACACTTTTTAATAAATAAACAAAAATAATTGAAGTTGAATTACATATATTTAAGCTTAAATGTTGTCTTTTTATCAGCTGTCAGCAGTTTCATTTGAATAAGCAATTTAGTGGCTACCCTATCATATACTTTCTTCCTGATTCTTCAATTAAAATGTCTGTATTTTTCTCCATGGAAAAGTTCATACAGATCTGTCAGGCAAACTATTTAGTAGGCTCTTTTGGGGAAGAACATTGAGTAGAAAGCTATATGGTATGTATTTTTACTTGACAGTTCTATGTTTTAATTACATAGATTTCACAAGCCTTAAAGAAAATTCTTCTGCAGAGTCTAAATAGTTCTCCAATCACTTCTGACCTTTATTCATAGCCTTTCAGTGATACACTGCTTTTCATAGTTCATCATGTGATCCTCACTGTTTTAACTCCTTTAGGAAGTTCACAGTAAATTTCAAAGCATACCCTAAGCCACTGGTTCTCACTCACTTCAGTATCCCCTGGAGGTCCTGCTATAAATACACACATTACTGGATCCTCACCCCCAGAATTTCAACTTCAGCAGTTCTAGAATGGGGCTGAGATTCTGGACATCTAACAAGTTCCTGGTCCAGTGCTGCTGGTTCATGGACCACTTTAAGAAACAGTGTTATAAAATATGAAGGATTGTTTTCATATATTGATCTATTTAATAGGTTTTCCCCTAAATTTAATCAGACTTTGAAGATTAAACCAGCTTCTCTTGATGGTCACAGAATGTGTATCACAGATGTTTAAGAGGAAACAATCTGAAACAAGAAATTCTTTATTTGAAAACATGTATATTCCATCTTCAAAATTGTGATTTATTTTTAGATAACGTCTAACTATTTTTGGGCAATTTCTCTTGATGCATAATTAGCTACTTCATGGCAATATCTTTCATTAAACAATTCTAGAATTACCCAGTAAACTTTCTCTAACTTGAACATTGTATGATCTGTTCTGAGAGAACTCACAGTTTGTTATCCTTCCAATTTATTAACTGGTATGAGAAAAATGTTGCCTGTCAAACATGCTTTTTTGTATCATGATTTTGAAAGAATCTTAAGTAAAAAGTTCATATCTATATCCAGGCATGCTTGGTACTTATCACCAAAGGACATAACCGATTATTGGATAGATAAATGGATGGGTGGATGGATGGATGGATGTCTTAGACATTTCTATGTCCTAGGTAGCCAGCAACTTTATCATAGGTTATTATTCTGCCTAGAAGCTGATATGTTTGTTTAGATAGGAGTTTTAAGATGCATCCAAATTTTGGATATGTTAATATGTGAGACATTATGTAACTTAGAATAGAGGACACATAGTACCTAAATTAATTTTATAGGTTTGTAATGTGAAATAAATAATTTTAAGTGTATGATGGAAACTTTTTTCTTTTTAGATTGTCCAGTTTATTGTTACATTGGTTCAGAATAACCAGCTTGTAAGTTTAAAGCGTAAAAGGTAAGTTTTTTATGATAAAATATTTTGACCTATACATAGACAACCAGACATTTTAGTGTTTAACCACGAATGGCTTATATTTCCTGGATGTGTGTCTGTTGTTCCAAATGAACGGTTCCTACCCTGTTAAATTAAACTTTCAACATTTAAAGATTGTTTTTATTTTTTAGCTGTCATCCTGCTGATGTTTTTGAGAAATAAGGATAGCCTAAATGGTCACTTTACAGATATACATGGAGTTAATAAAGAATTCCTTTTCATTCAGATTGCAGTTTAGTGTGGTATTAGAATATCTGAGTGAAGGAAAATCTAAAAGAGAGGATTTATGTTGGAAAAAAACATGAAATTTTTTTTTACTTGATCTTGTCTAATCCACTCATAAGGGTCTTAAAAACCTGTATATCACAGGTTGTGATAGCTATGTATGTCGGTAACTACAGTTGTCATAACTAAACCATAAGAAGAAAAGTAGTGGACAAAGGAATAGTTGGAAGAGAAAAAAATTACCTTGTGATGCTCACAGCTTATACTGTGACTTGACTCTATCCACTAACTAGTTCTTATGATACTACCTATTTAGGTTTCCTATGTAAGTAGAGTTCATAAAGAGTTACATAGTCAGCAACGAAATATTTCTGGAGAGAGTAATTTGTTATATGTAGTATAACAAAAATAGTACAGAAGAATGGAGAAATAAAAGTTCCAGAAATACTCATCCCCCAGTTTTTATTCCCACGATATAATTATTTTTAAGAATTCTTTGTGTATTGTTAGTGAAATTTTTTATTCATTATTACAATGAGTGTGTTTGTGTATGGGTAAATTATTAGCAGTTTAAGTTCCTTGTATGTTTGCTTCATGAATATATTCTTCATGAACTTCATGAATTATCTAATGATTTTTAGGCCTCTACTTCTGAACACGAATGGAGCCCAAAAGAAGAACCTGTTTCAGCACATAGTCAAAGAACCAGCTGATAATCACCATCATAAAGTAATTTTTTAAATTCTATTTTGTATTTATTATCTCAAACTAAATGTTATAGCAGTATTTAATGCATTCATAGTTTAGCAAATAATAATCTTAAGTGCTCATCCTCTAGATTTCTTAAATCATGACTTTTTTCATTTTTCACTTCAGATTATTTTAAGAAATATAAACTATTGCAAGTATAGTTGTCTCAATTGCCTATCCCCAAGTTCATTTCTCTCCCTCTCACCAGTCTCCTCTGATATTGAGATAATCACTATCTTGAATTAGTATTTATCATTCTCATGCCATTTTATATGTGTGAGTCCATGAACAATATTTGTTCAATATTTGAACAGTATCTGTTTCAGCATCATCAAAAAACCAACTGAAAATCATCATAAAGTAATTTATGAATAATATCTTGTATTCATATATCTGAACTTCACAGAAATAACATTTTGTACATATTTCACATTGTGGTTTTTTTCACTTGTTCTCTCTTTTGAAATTCATTAAACAGACTTAGCTCATCTCATATATTATGTGCTGTTAGTTGAGTATTATGATAATATAAATGTGCATTCATCTATTGGTTATTATGTTTCCAACTTACAAATATGCATAGACTAGATTGTTCTTCACTGTAATGATTTCAAAACATATTTTGTTTGCCTTCACTTTTATCATAGGCTTTCTGGATAATTTGTCAAACTTACACCCACTGGCAAATTAGTCCATCCCAGAGTCTAGACTTTTTTTAATACCTGATTATTATTGTTACTTTCAAATCTTAGAATTCTAAATACTGTTTCAGATTTATTAAAGTTTTGAGATTTTTGTTTTTAGGCAAATCAGAGTTAACCTAACATCTGGTTCCACTTTCCACCACTCTTTTCTAAATAATCAAGCATACCTAAACTATTTTGTTTTTAAAATTAAAGACTCAGTTTAGATGAATGAAAATTTTTTAATTTAACTGAATTTATGTTTAAAGTACTTTGTAACTTTTTTCTCTGTATTACCCAGTGTTGAGATTTAGATTTTTTTTGCATTACAGTATTGACTATGTTTTAGAGAATTGAATTTTTTTAATTAATGTACCTATGGTCTGAATATATCTGTAGTTGAATACAAAAAATTCATTGCTAAAAGACGTTTAACTATGAAATATTTGAAATGTTTTTTTCCTCTAGTAATGAAAGCATTTAATGAGTAAGAATAAAATGGATGAAATAATCTCCATCAGCACAGGACCCATCTAGTTATGCTTGAAATTTCTGGTGAAGTCTTAATGTTTTTACCCTTTGGGTATAAAAAATACTTCAAAATTTACAGAATTTTCTGTAGAAACAGTCTGAGGCATGTCATGTTTATACAAGGCCCCTTATAATAGAAGAAATAGAATGCAGATAAAACACTTCATACCTCTATAAAGTGGCAGTACTAATGCCAGAAAGCATGTAATTACCATAAGGGCAGAGAACATACCTGGTTTGCTTGCCGTTGTGTCCTTAACATTTAGTAAATAAATAGTAGGTGCCCATTTAGCATTTTTTTGATGGCATATTATTTGGTAGTCTGTATAATTTCAGTTTTTTGAATATTTTCTCCCCTTATTTTTTAGGTTCCACACAGTAGGACTGAAGGTTTAAAGCCAAGGGAGAGGATTTCAGATGATATCATTATTTATGATGTTACTGATGATAATACAGATGAAGAAAGTATCCCAGTTATTCCAGAAACTAATGAAGATGTTATATCTGATCCCTCCAAGTAAGGAGATTGTGAAACAAAATTTATGAAATATTGGTTACTTTTCTTATCAAAGAGCTGAATTCAAAGCCACTTTATTTTGTGATAAATTAATAACTAACTCATATTTAGATTATTAAACTGGAAAACTAAGACAATTCTAATTTTTTAATTTTGAAGTTAAACACGTTTCGTGGTCTTATATTACATGAAATACCAATATTTGTAATTAGGCTACTCACCCAAGAAATTTAAGCCTTTTGATACATGGTTTCAAGAGAGTTTTCATGGAAAAAATGGACAGAATGAATTCATTGAATTGGTCTGAAAGTGTAATTGGTTCTTATATTGCTGATGTAGCTGTAGCCAGTACCCTGATATTGTCATTGTTGAAGATGACAATGAAGATGAGTATGCACCTGTCATTCAGAGTGGAGATCAGAACGAACCAGCCGTAGAATCCCCGAGTTCAGCTAGCGATGGCAGCAGCCCTCTCATGTCCAGTGCCGTCCAGCTAAATGGCTCGTCTAGTCTGACCACAGAAGATCCCGTGACCATGATGGATTCCATTCTAAATGATAACATCAATCTTTTGGGAAAGTGAGTGCTCATCTAGATGTCTAAATGTATTTGCTTTCTTTGTTTATTTCACAGACTGTTTATCTTAGGAGAGTGATCTTCCTTTCAGATTATGAACTCTTGTAGTATACCTTTCTCTGTTTTGGTCAGGACTGAGCTCTGTAAATGGTGTTCTGAGAAGGCTTTAATCATTCTAAGAGCAGCCTTGTGGTTTTCTTGGTAATTCCTTAGATTTCTTCAATGAGATACGTGTTTTGAATGTCCATGCAGTGTGTGTGATTGTATGTATTTTTTTATCAGGACTGTGGAATAACATAATCTCCATTAAGGCACTTACTAAACAGCATAAGAAAACCAGAAATTAGTAGCAATAGCCAAGAATAAATGGTTAAATATTTTATAATTTATAGAATAGGAAAAAGATATATCTGTTGTTGCAGAACATTTTTTCTATAAATACTAAAGTTTTGTGTAAATGCTGTGAGTTCTCAGTTAAACAAATATCTAGAAATCCCAAATACTGCATAGGATTTATTAAAATTAAGAATTTTGCACTGTGATTTTTTAAACATTAAAAGCAATAAAACCTAATACTTAATTTTTTTAAAAATCTTCTTTCCTTAGGGTTGAGCTGTTGGATTATCTTGACAGTATCGACTGCAGTTTAGAGGACTTCCAAGCCATGCTGTCAGGAAGACAGTTTAGCATAGACCCAGATCTCCTGGTTGATGTAAGTACTTTGAATAATCTTTGCTGTACTGGCAGTTTGTGTATTTGTTTATATTATTTACAAATCAATACACCATTTTGTTGTATTCTACACTGTTTTTGCCTTTTTTTTTTTTTTTAATGAATGGTTTTATTTATCAGAAAGAATGAACACATGGGTTCAAGACAGTGAACGAGGGCAATCACTACCCATCTCTCAGTAGAAGTTCAGTTAATCCCTCTGTTAACAATATAACCAGCTCTGTTCAACAGTGCTCTGCTGTGTTATGTTTTGCTTTAGAACAAATTGTCACTAAATAGAAATTGGTGGAAATAAACAATAGAGATACTTAGCCAGGAAACAATATGGTGGCGCTTCCTAATACTTTGGGACTTATTAATGTTTCCCACTCAAATATGTATTTTATTATACTTGGTATATATATATTTTTAAATTATGTCCTGAGTCCTGTGGTTCCTCTGCTCCAGTCCCTACCACCACCTGTGCAAACTTGGCTCCAATGTTGTCTGGACTGTGAATTCTTATTTACCATTTCTGGCACTAACCACCTTTCTCACTCTCTCTTCTCTCTTCTTTCTTGTTCCTGCTACTTCTTCCTCCCTTACCTAAAGGTTCCTACTGCCCTCAGTCCATCCACCTGAATCTTCTCTCCCTATTTCTGTTTCTGTTGTGAACATGTTTCTTTATCCTGAAAAGTTTTGTTGCTTCTTTTTTGCATTTATTTACTTAAAAAGCAGCTTCTCTCACACCAAAGTAGTCTATAGTCTTGCCTTCTCAGTGAAGCTTAAAGGAATTAATGCTTTCTTCCTCTTCAATCCTAATAATTTACTACCTTACTTCCCTGCTTCTCATCAGTCTTTGTCAGTGTCGCATGACTTTATCATCCCTCCCAAAGCATCAGTGCTTTATAGGATGGATTTCACTTTCTTTGAATATTTCCTTTCTATGCTGACCTATGTTGCCATCTTAAGTGAATTATGTTCATGTTAATGATGTACTTCAACTTACAGTAACTTGACAGCCCTTCTTGATTCTATCAGTCTTTGTCTATACTATGAATCATGGATCATGGGCCTTTTAGAATACCTGTCCCTTATATCACTAAGACAGAAATATTCTGATTGTCTACAAATGCTTGCAGTCTTGAACTAGAGCATTTTAATTCAACTTTGGAACATTTTTGACACAAGACTTAAGCCAGCCAGCTCTTCCTATTCACAGAGGGTAAGTCACCATGCCCTGGTCGTCTCATAAGCTGTGGAATCTCATGTTTTTCCTTCATAGCGGAAGTACTTACTTCCTCTGTAAAGCCACTTTGTACACCTGCCCCTTTGCCTGTTTTTCTCTATCTTGATCTTTCTCACCTGCCTTCATAGGTACAGATTTTCCCCATATTAGAAAACATTTTGATGTGTTCTGATCATTTATCATTCTACTTCTCTAATTCTTTAACTACAAACCTTTGGAAATCAGTGGCTATATTTGTACTTTGTTTTTACTCTGTATTTCTTTTGAAGCCCCATACTGTCTTATTTACTCAAGGCCTGTGCTGTCTTGGCTTATCCATAGTAAGTTGGCTGCATTTTTTTTTTTTCCCTTATTAGGCCATTGGGCTAGTGGAAGGAGGTTTGTTTTGAATCAGATTTGGGTTCCATTTTGAATGGCTTATCTTATTAGGTATGTCTTTAACCTTGACAAAGTTAACTTCTCTTGCCGAGTTTTGTGGCTAATGTCTAACATGAAGGGTTGTTCTAAGAATTACAGATAATTAACACTCTTATTATTGACACTTCATTTTCTATAGCAGAACTTTCTCTCTTGATTTTAGAGGCACTGGACTTCTTTTTTTCTCTTCCTGTCTCCTTAACCATTCTCTATTTCTGCTACTTGTGTGTGTTTCCCAGAATACCCATTCTTGTATCCTCTTTTGTTTTTCCTACCTCTCTTCTTTTTTTTTAATCCTCCTTCTGTGAAGGGCTTATGGCTTGCTTGTAGGATTGCCCTCAGATGTGTATTTCCAGCTCTTAATATTTCTTAAAGGAAACTTTGCTTGTGTTCTAATTCAATGACTTGGGATCATCAGTTTCATCTTGCATTGATTATTTGTGTTTAACACCAAACTTTTCTTTATTTGCTAAAGAGCTACCCTTTTCACTGTCTTATTTTCTATTGTGGTATCAGACTTGTTCTCTTTACTCAGGATAGTACTCACAGCAAGTCATCTTGCCTTATCTTTCTCTCTTCATTTACCAAAGCTGTGTATTTTCCAAAATCACTTTCACAAGATGTCCTCACTTTTTGTTTCCACTGTTGCCTTCTCACCCAGGACCTTCATTATTTCACCCTTGACATAAGTTGCCTTGTTCTCTTAATTGGCAAAGATGGTAAGGACATAATAGGAATGCTGAAGAGTTCATAGTTTTTCTCTTCAGAGCTCAGTACTCAGTGACCCAGTGTGGAGTCAGCAGGAGGGGCCTGGCCTTAGAATTCAACCAACTTGTTAGCTCCTTTTATGAACCTACATTTGTCTACTTTAACACCATGTGTCTGCTGGGAATACAGGAGGTATCCTGAGTCAGGAGAGGGGAAGTGGGGCAAAGGGGGAGTGAGGAGCTTATACTGCTGGCCCTCCTGAGAAACCACTCTCAGTAGGACAAAATCTGGTTGGCCTCTGAGGCAGTGACAAGTCGCACTGGCAGAGATTGGCAGTCATGTTCATGAATAACTACTCTTAAGGAACTGAGATTTTTTCTCTTCATGGATCAGTTATGTGAAAGGGTGAAACATTAATAAAAGGAAAGGAAGAGTTGGGGATATACTTAGTGCTTCTGTGAATGTCTTACTTTAAGGAGAGGTACCACTGTCTAGAGAGGGTGGAGAAGATTTAACTGCCTCTCTGCATTTAGTCTTATCTGTGAATGATTTTGTGTGTTTATTCTCCTAAAATGCTTTAATCACTAAATTTCATTCTCAAGGCTCTTACTGCTGACAGAATGTGGGCTTGTCCACTGACTGGCCTTCCTCTGCTTTTGAACATAACATGTACAACTTACTGTTCAACTCAAAACTTCTACATCATTTAAAAAATGGTCATCTTACAGTTTCTAGAACTTACCCTACAAACATTCCTTTTCTGTTGTTGCTAATGCTATAAAAATACACTTTTTCTCCATCCTCTCCTGTGCAAGTCCTGCCGTTCTCTAGGGACTGATACATGTTGTATAGCTTCATGAAGACTTTTTTTCATCCTTCATGTGTGTAAGTGTATGTGTGTGTCTGTGTTCCTCTCTCAATTCTCTTAACTCCTTAGTACTTTTGATCCCCACCATCCATCATTATAATACAGGGTTATATTTGATCATATGTTGCTGTTTGATGATGTTCTTCTGTTTAGATTGTAAGCTCCTGGAGAGCAGGAATTCTGTCTTCTTCTTGTATTATTCATGTCAGTTATTTCTTAGATGTTTAATAAATCCCTGTGGAACGAATGACTATGAAGCCTATGGCTTAAACAAAAATTACGTCTGTAAACTAGCTGGCCTGAGGAATGCAGTGGGCAGTGGTCTTAGCATTTATGGTTTTTCTTATGAGGTGAGGTGAAAGAATCCCCCAGGAGGCATGCCGTTTGGTCCAAGGGCTCCATCCGAGGTGTGACTGAGGGGCTGTCACAGAAGAGATCCTATCCTGTCAATGTATTACGTAGTGAGCAGCGTCAGTGAACGCTTAATGTCAGGGCAGAAAACAGCCCTGCATGCCATTTAGAGCTAAAGCCATTTAGGGAGAAAAAAAAGAAATGAAGGAGAGGGGAAGTGGGGAAAACTGCTAATTGTCTCAAGTGATTTACCCCACCGTTTTATAGAAAAGTTATTATAATATATAATGCATGGGCTAGCTTGCTCTGCCTTTTTTTTTTTTTCCTTTCTGCTTTCTAGCCTTTCTCTTCCAAACTTGTTTTACTGTATGAAAACGTCTAGTGCAGCTGCTACATCTCTTCACCCAACATGGCTGTATAAAAATTTTGAACACACAGTTAATTTTTAAAATACTTTTTAAACTTATCATCTTTCTTGTTTGGTCTTTCAGCTTTTCACTAGTTCTGTGCAGATGAATCCCACAGATTACATCAATAATACAAAAGTAAGTTTTAATTCATCTTGCTCAGGACCCATAGCTGTAAGAATCTGAAAAAAGCCCTAAGTAGAGAGCAATATCACACCCAGTTGCAAAAAGCATTTTATATTCTTACCTAATGTGTGTGATCAAGGTAGTAAAATTCTGGATGAAAAAATAGCTTTTGGTTATGGGGTGAATCATTGTCCAATTCTGTTGGCACTTCTACGATTAATTACTGGGAGAGCGTCTGAGTAAACGTGGCATATTTGGTTATATCACTGAAATAAATTATTAAAATATGATTTCTTCATGTTTTATGTGCATCATTTTATTCTTATCCCTTCTATAAATAACTTCTCAGCATTTTTATTGAAAATTTACTAATACCCATATTCTTAAGTAAGTTTCTTCATTTTATTAGCATACAGTAAAAGGGACTTGTACTAATTTACAAGTCCTTGTACTAATTTAAGGTGAGGTGAGTTGAAACAGTGTATGGATTTTGGAATTCTTTTTTTAAGTATGGTTTTTGTTATTTTCTTAAATGTATAGGAATTCCAGTTGGGAATATTGACAAGAGATTCTTGAGAAGTGGTTTTTAATGAGTAATAAGGATGATTTGAAGTTGTTAGAGCAGACATTTAGAGATTGTTCTGTTACTTTGTACAGTGTTTTGTCTTGAATAGGTATATACTCTGTTTATCTTGTATTTATACCAAATTGTTTAGTAATCCTTGTTTTTCATCAACTACAAAAATAAATTAAGTCCTGACATTCTGTACAAACTCTGGATGAGTGGAATCAAAATTTTATTTTGATTCTTGTGTCTCAAATAACAAACACATATCAAATAAATATGAGTGACTAGAGTTGGGGGTGGGGGGTGGTGTAGTTTTCTGACTAATGTCATGTGTGAGGATAGCCTGACCAGGTTTTCTGCATTTTCAGTTATGGCTTGGGTAACTTATAGTCAAAAGAATTTGTGAATTTTTGAACTAGAAAGTTGATTATATATTCAGTATTTGGATGATTTATATCAGGGTAGCATACTGTAATGGCCAGTTAATATTTTCAGTTTTGTAGGCCATATGTTCTCTGTCACAACTACTCAGTTCTGCAGTTGTAGTGCAACAGCAGCCACAAACAGTACATAGAAGAATGAGTGTGGCTGTGCTCTAGTAAAACCTTATTTACAAAAGCAGGTAGGCAGCATGCTGAATTTGGCATGTGACCCATAGTTTGCCTGCATTTTTATTATAAGATTACATGGACCATCTCAACACTGTGTTTCAGTAAATACAGTATTATTCAATGTTAGACCTCAAGTTGAATGAATCAGTACCACAATGTTCATTTACTGAATGTGCTGTATGTACTGTTTATTGCTTAACATTGAGTCTTATTCCAAAAATCAATAGTTTAAATATTTTCCAGAAATAAGTTAACCAGCAATCGCATATTGCTCTATAGTACTATAGGAAATTTATAGAGTGATTTTTCATTATAATTCTGTAATCTAATGTTTTCAGATCATTGGCTCATCAACTGTCATTCCCTTGCTCATAACAGGTATTTCATGATACAGATTACAGTTCTTTGCTAATAAATCAGGATGTCTTTAAACTCTTCAGTACAGTGATCTGGGTGGCCACTACTAATGAACAAGAATTTGCATGGGAGATGAAACCCATTTGTCATCCTGGTTCTCATAGGCTGTTTTAGAAAAACAGCAGCGGCATCCTTGGAAAATATTTATTTTAGGAAGTATAAAAATAAAGTTGGTGTTACTGCTATAGCAGTAATGTTTATTGTGAATTCTAAGTGAGAAATGTAAATTGTGGGGAAGGTTTATACTTTATCATATCTTGGAGCCATTATTCTCTCTGAATCCTGGAAGCCGGTACTTCTTCATTTTATGATGAGTATCAGGGAAATTAGTATGTTTGTTACACCATATATCTTAACTAGTATGTAGATATCTGGGACCAGGAAAAATTGTGACCTCTGCACCACAGTTTGAACATCATTGAAAAAAACACTGAAGAACTTAACTCCCTTACAGTCAGATGAAAGGAGAGAAGACAGTGGTTGAAAGAAGCAATTTAAATGACAGAAAAGAACTGAAAGAGTCACAGGAAATGAAGAACCATCAGCTCAACTTTAAGGCTTACAGATATAGGGATAAATAGCTTTAAGGATATCAGCATGTCATCCTGAGCTACTCTAAGTATGTTCACTTATACTAAATACTGAGTGAAGAGAAATGTGTAGTACATTTTAATCAAAACTGTTTAAAATGAGTTTAAAGAATTATCTCCTTTAACTAGCAGTTTAAAATGAGCCATTTTTGCTTCATTACTATCTTTTACCCTTGACAAATTCCATCTATTCTATTGAAAAAATACCCCTTCTTTTCATACTTCTTATCATCCTAGTTTTCAGGTTCTTTGTTTCATCTACTTGATGACAGCAGTAGTTTTTTTACCCAGTCTTATTACCTCTACTCAAATCTTTTTCTCTCTCTAGTCCATCTTGCCTGATATTCCCCCTTCCCAGGAATTTTAAATATACCATTATTCACATACTGTATCAGTTATTTGTTTTTTCTGTTTTTAGAAACATACAAAATATGAAACTAATATTTTTATATCGTTTGTTCTCTTTTAGCCTGAGAATAAAGGATTAGAAACTACCAAGAACAATGTAGTTCAGCCAGTTTCAGAAGAGGGAAGAAAATCTAAACCCAAAACAGGTAGGTACAAATGTGATGTTAGTGTCCATCATAAAAAAGTTTTTTAATTGATTCCTACCTACATGGAAACTGATGCAAGCCAAGAAGAGTATTGCCATCCATTAAGAATTGGACCACAATGTACTGTTACCGGTTCTGTGCATAATGTATCAAGGTTCCGGCACATACAAAAAATTGAGCTGGTGAGGTAATACTTCTTAAAGCTTAAGTCATGTTTATTTGTTTTCCCTTTTTAATTTTGGGAGAACTGAAAGGATCCTCATCTTAATTGTTTAGTAAAAGAGTAACTTTCTTGACTTGCACATTTTAAAGTTACTGACATAAAGTGTCATATTGCTTGCTTGACTGTGCAAGGGTAGTGATTACATATATGCATATCTGTTTCATTTTTTTCTACCTTTGGCTTACACAAAGAGCTAGTGATAAAAGAGCATTTTTCTGATCTTCATAACAGATAAGCAGCTTGTCCAGTACACGGCCTTTCCTCTTCTTGCATTCCTCGATGGAAACCCTGCTTCAGCTGTTGAGCAGGGAGACACAGCATCATCAGAAGTTATGTCTTCTGTAGATAAACCCATAGAGGTTGATGAGCTTCTGGACAGCAGCCTGGACCCAGAACCAACCCAAAGCAAGCTTGTTCGCCTGGAGCCACTGACTGAAGCTGAAGCTAGTGAAGCCACACTGTTTTATTTATGTGAACTTGCTCCTGCACCTCTGGATAGTGATATGCCACTTTTAGATAGCTAAATCCCCAAGAAGTGGACTCTAAATGTATATATTCATCAAAATGATGAACTATTTATTTTAAAGTATCATTTGGTACTTTTTTTTGTAAATTTGTTTTGTTTAATCTGATATTATGGAATCAAAAGCACCTTTTTGCTTTTCTCACTAACCACACACTTAACAAAGCTTTCAGATGTTACTCAGCTACATAGGTACACAAGATTTAATGCACATTGGCATATCTTTAAGTTGGACTCATATGGCCATTTTTCTCCAGTTGTAGTAAATTGGATTTCTTTTTTACATATTATGCCCATTAACCCCAGTTAAACTTCTGTTTTACTTGTTTGATGCTGTCTGTTTGCACTCAGTGTGTAAGTCACTAGAACTAATCGTAGAACTCCTAAAGCTTTCTCTGTTTCAGTTACTTTTATTATTTTTCACTTGGCTCATTTTTAGAACTGGAAACATAAAGTGCCTGTACCTTGTAAAACTTCACTTGTCTCTTTCGGTTCAGAGAAGTTCGTTCATGTTCAACAGGAAAGGCAAAGTATACGCGAGCGCTTGCTGATTCGGTTCCAGCTCCATGTAAGTAGAAGGGGATGGGGGTGGTGCCAGCCCTATCTACTTGTTGGACTAGTTTTAAGTAAAAGTTTTCTGGCTTGTTTGTGTTCATTTGAACCATACTATTTAGTAAAATAAATAGTGAATGTTGTGTACTAGTGTCTGTTAAGTGTCTTCTTTGGAGGTGACACCCATGTGTAACAGTTTCTCCTTTCAAAGGAAGTGGATGAGACAAACTAAACTGCCTCTCTCCACGAAGCTTAACTTGAGTTTACACCAAGATTTTGGTGTCTTCTCACAGAAGGTAGACTGTGTAATGGAACAAGGAAGAAATACAATGCCTTTAAATTCAATGTGTTTTAAAGTTTTTTATTTAAAAAATTATACTGCCTAGTTTTCTGTTTGTAATAACAAAGAACTGAGAGATGTATGCCTCTCATGGTCCCAAATGATGTAAGATTATCACTTGATGCCACCAAAAGGGCTTGCAGTGTTTGCCCTTGAGAGAAGAATGAGAGAAACAGTTCTATCACTTCCTCCCTTTGGAACAGTTGCTCAGGAGTATTACACAGACTTAAAGCAAGGCTAGGGGACTTTTTATCAACTTGAAGAACTCCACCTTCAGGTCCAGAGGGCGGAAGCAGTGCAGTTAATATCTGAATGTTTTATTAGGGCTACTTGATGAGGCATCACAACGATTGCTTTTCCTATTGGCCATATTCTCTTTGGATATCTTGGAATTTGTTACAATGATGTAAAAATTCAAAGTACAAGGGGATAGGAAACCCTAAACAGATGCTTAGCAGATCCAGAAATACTTGGCTCTGACAATTGGATCTTGGTGTGAAGACTCCAGAACAGTTCTGTGCATATGCTGTAGAACTCACTTTCCTAGAGGTTAGGAGTTGAGAAACCGAGAAAAGAACTTGAGACTTTTTCACTTGCCTTTCTCCCTGGGGTATATGATTAGATTTCTCCCTGGGGACATTTTGTCCCTCTAGAAGTATTCTAAAAATAATTTTGAAAAATTTGGGACCCCTTAGTATTTTCTGTTTGACATTTAAAACTTCTCATTTTAAGTCTAAATAGTTGGAAGGAAATTAGGACATTAATACTACTGTTTTAAAATAGTTGTTACATGCTTCTCTTAAATATCTAAAAACTAAATGCCATAGTGATTTGATACTTGATACCCATCATCTATTCGACTTGCCTCAAATAATTTTATCCCACTTTCATTATGCTTGAAAGTCATACATTGAAGGTAGTAGCATCATACTTCTCTGGTATTAATTTGAAATTGTTCCCTGTAACTTTAAAATTCTAAGCATTGTTTGTCTAATTATAAATATGCAATTGATCAAAACCATGAATGTGGCATAAATTAGCTGATTGCCAAACATTTCTTGTCATGCAGTTAGATTTTCACCTTTGTAAACAGGGTAGCCATATAACTGAGTTCTAATAAATCCCAAATTATGTACAGAACTTTCAAGTCTGGGTTTATGAAAACTCCCCTGTGCAATCCTCACCCGTTAGCCCTCTGCTAGACTGACACAGAGCAGTATGGCTTTTGAGTACACACTCAAGGAAGAAATGTGGCTTCCTAAGTCACTGCTTAGAGGAAAGCCACCCATCAATTCGGGACAGCCTTCAAGGCTTTAGATGAGGGATGAGCAGAGCATCTTTTTTTTTTTTTTGGTTGAACTGTTAAGTTTTCAGCATAGTAAAATGTAATACAAATTCAGTAATACAATGTAGTCCAAATATTGAACTGATTGAACATAAAAAGTAAAATCTTGTCATAAATATACCTACTGGGATGATCAGGTCTTGGGGATTTTTCTCTTTTTGTATCTGGGGGTAAATACTGTCAATATAATGAGTTAGCCTCAATTTTATTCCTATCTGTTTTTATAGATGTAAAGTCCTAAGAAACTGTTTATAATACAAAAAAATAAATGAGAATGGACAGAATTTTGTTGCAGTGTCATTCAATTCTTTGAATTCCTTCAGAATTATATACCAGAGCTCACTAATAGTTTTAATTTTTTTATGATTAAAACAAAAATTAGCTGGTGACTTAATTAGATCATCCTTCAATTTCACTGAAAGCAGAAAAACCACAGGAATTGCAAAAGGATTTTTTACCCAGTGTTGTTTTCTCTCACCAATATTAAAATAGTCTCTACCGGATGTTTAGAGACCCTTGGTAAGATTCAGAATGGGTAAGAGGTGTAACTGCTTTGTCAAATGTGAAAAGAGTAAATTAAGAGTCATCTTTTCAGGCAAATCAACTTTAGGAAATAGCACACTTGGAAATTGAAGATCCTTTAAAAATAATCTAGATCATATTTACTGGAGGAAGTGTCTGTACTATCTGAAAATTAAGTATCACGGTATGAAAACGGTTAATTTAAAGCACCCCCCATCTTCATCCACCACCAACTTTCTTTGCCTCAGGGAGATAAGAAGGGCCATAGGTAGGAATTGCCTGTAACTTGGAGAGAGCTAAATGTTCTTTTAGGTTGTATCACTATGTGTTTCACAGGAATGGTATACTCAGGAATTTAGAGGCTTAAGTGTGAGAACAAAGGGTCTGCAGACTGGGAAAATGACCAAATGACACTCATGCTGAACATAGAAGAATGCTACATTTAAGAATCGGAGCCTGGGCTTTGAAGTATACATGATAAAGATAATTGGTTTCATATTAGGACATAAAGCAAATCAACAAATTTCAAGGAATTGGTACTGAACAGTCTAACTACCATACAAATAAGCTACATCTTGACAATTTCAGTTAACTTCGACCTAGTAGATCGCATTGTTAAAAGGAACACTCCTGTGAGCCCAAAGGTCCTGTATTTCCCAACTACCCAAGCAGTCCAGGCATCACTGCCTACACGCATGTCTACGTTTGTTAATTGGTGCAAAACATATTTTCAACTTGTCAACCTCATAATCAGCCAATCACTTAAAATAATTTTCTATAAATACACATCCTACTGAATCCTTATACACTCATTAAAAAGGGAACAGAAGTTCTCTGCATTCTCTGTCTTAAAACCACAGAAAATCAAGGGTGTAGGAACAGAAGGTCTTTTGTCCAATAAATGGGGATGCTTTCAGAGCTGTCATGGGATGGTAAAGCTCGCCAAAATGAAAAGTTAAACCAAAGGACAAGAAGTCAAATAAACATGTGAGGCCTTTTAAAAACTGATAAACTGATACTAATCAAAATTAAACAACTTTTGTTCTGTAAAAGACCTTGTTAAGAGGATGTGAAAGGATACAGGATATGAGAAAATATTTGCCGATTACATACCTGATAAAGGACATGTATCAGGAATATATGAAGAACTCTCAAAAGCCAACAGTAAAAAGATGAAATAAATCCAAGAAAATGACCAGAAGGCAGACATTTCACCGAAGACAACACAAATGGCAAATAAACACGTGAAAAAAATCACTATTTGGAAAAAGAAATACAACCACAAGTATCATTCTTATCGGAATGGCTAAAATTAAAAATAGTGACATCAAATGCTGGTGAGGACACAAAGGAACAGTTGTCCTGCATGGATGGTGTGAATATGAAATGGCACCATTGCTCTGGAAGTTTCTTAGAAAACGAATATTCAACCCACCCACAAAGATCCCTCTCCTTCCAATTCCAGGCAGCTGCTATCTGTTCTCCATTTCTATAGTTTTATTACTGCAAGCATGTTATAATTAGAATGATACTCTGACCTTTGGGATTGGCTTTTTAACCTAGCAAATTCATTCAAGTTGCTGTGTGCACCACCAGTTTAGTACTCCGTGATATGGATGTGCTACTGTGTTTAAACATTCACCCATTAAAGGACATTTGCGTTGTTTCCAGTTTGGTCTACTATAAATAAAGCTGCTATAAACATTCATTTCGTATGGATGTACTATTTATTTCTCTGGATAAATGTCCAAGAGTTTTATGGATATTGTTTTGCCTATAATAATGAATTCATTTGACATATTACTGAAATAATATGTACCAAAATTGCTCATGGGATAGGGGATTTTATTACAACTATATTCCTTTTTTTTTTGGTAAAGGACTTTAAGTGTCAGAGAAGGAAACAACTGGCAACTTTGAAAAAATGTCTACAGAACACAGCACTGTAGAATATCTATCAGATGAATAAAACTATTCCCCAAATAGCCTAGGTCCACCCATAGGAGAACCAGAACCCACAGCCACACGGAGAGGCCCACATAGAGGAGAAGCATGGCCACAGGCAACAGCCCCACTTAACTCCTGGCCAGCAGCCAGGCCCAACTTGTAGACGTGTGAATGAGGCCTGTTTGGACCTTCCAACCATTGCCATACCCTGTAGTACCACAGCAGAAGAAACCCCACATCAACCCAGAACTGTGAAGGACAATAAATCGTTGGGTTAAAAAAACAAAACAAAACTGTCTACCTACTCAGAGTTCTTTAGGAGAGCATCCCTTTTAATTACCTTTGAGATTACTAACAGAGAACAAACAAAAATACTAACAGAGGACCAAAGGATGAACATCACCTTTAAAACAATTCAGTTTTTCAGACACAAAATTAACAGTTACCCTTTAGTGCCAGGTTTTTTTATTCACAGAAGGACAGTAGGTCCGAGTATTATAGCCACCTAGATTTGAGCTGCCAAATGGAATTAATACACCATACACTTTCTCTGAATTCATTTATTTATAGATAGAATATAGCCATTCAAAATCATGGAATACAATAACAAGACACAACAAAGTCGGGGGATTAAGTTGAATTGTTCTATTTCACTTACATTAATAAATATCTGAAAAGCAAATGTAGACTAAGATTCTTTAAAACAAAGACATACACACAACTAAGAGTATCTAAGTGAGTTATCATACTGCTTGATTTTTAGATTGAAAGATTATAACATATTACAATTAGATGGCAACAAACACAAAAGCATTTTAAACATCTTTTGAACTGTATAGTGTACTATAAGCAGGAGTCTACAGCATTTTATCATTCTCCTGGTCTCAGTTTATGGGTAGAAAGCATGCTGGACACCAGCAATCCACATTACACAAATCATCTACCACTAATGAAGTGTAAAATGTATTTTGAATAGAAATTATTTTTGAATGCCAGAAAAAATGCTTGCTATTCTTGGCAGACTTGGGATTTCCCAACTCTGCCAGTGAGTAGCTGTCTGAGCTGTTTTAAGTCCATGCTTCAGTTTCTTCATTTTTAAAATGAGGACTGGATTAGATTTACCTAAGTATCTACTGAAGCTTATAGTATTTTGCAGTTTTTTCCCGTCCTGTCAAAAGTTTACTACCTGGGTTTTCAAAACAAACTTCTAAATGTTTTCAGCAACTTCCTTCCAACCCATGATTATGCTTTCCAAAATCTTTGTCTAAATCCTTCAGAATTCTTAACATCTGTACTGAACCCATACATTTGCACATGTTTACAATGACCAAAACAAATTCACTATGTTGGCATGGAGGGTGATCTAGCCTATACAGGGAAGATTACAACCTAACTGGGTATTCAGTTTAGTACCCACCACCACTCATCTGACTTTTGTTTACCAAACACTCCCTTACCTATATATAATACGGTCCTTATTTTCGTATCAAGGGAAAAACCTGAAAAGACTTTTTCAAACAACTGGCATTTAAGTGGCTTGTTCATACAATTTCAGAATAGCCACATTCTTTGTAGTCTCCTGTAGGACAAGACATCAAATAGTTTAAAAGGAAGCCATACATTTCCTTTTACACTTTCTAAAACAGCTTAAGTTTTAACATAATTAAAAAATAAAACTGTCAAGCAATTTTGTTTGTACTCTTATTTTCACAGGTATAGAGCAAAGATAAACCTAACAATGTCCACTTTTACTAACTCACCATCATACCATAAAAATCTCCCTTTCTGATTCATTCTACATACATACCAATGCACTTGGCAAGAATATAATAAAATGGCAAGCAGTAAAATCTAATTCATGCCAGAACACTGGATAAATCACATGGGAAGCACACACATACACTTTACAGAAGTTGGAAATACTGTTGATTTCAAATAAGCAATGATAAAAGTGGGACTTTCATGCCAGAAGTTCCATTCAGTCAAAATCACGATTTGTGAGAACAAGTGGGGCCACCAGTGTCCAAACGTACAGTACGATGCCAATCCAACTAGAAGAGATTTTCACCCAGACAGCTGTCCACTGACTTCTCATCTCACGAGAAGGCTCATACCTAAATTTTAGGGCAAACAAAAGGCAAGGGGTTGGATTACCAGGCATTAAGCTAGCCAGCTTCCTTACTTCACAAGTGTTCTTTTTATCCAATTTGTGTAAAATATATTGTTGCTGGACTGTTCGTTGCCTCACTTGCATACTGCTTCAATAGCTAATGTGAAGGTAAAAATCAATAATTTTCTTTAAAGGAGTAAAGGACAAAGGCCCCTGAAGTAGGTCGTTTACATAATACTCAGAGGTTCTTTATGTACAGTTATTCATTCATTCCCTGGTTTCCAAAATTTCCCATTTGGCCATTTCACTTTTATGAAAGACCTACATTTGTGCTTGTTTATAGAAACTGAAACCTAAAGAAGATTTTTGCTTTTACTAAAAAAACTATTACCTTAGTAATGTAGGTCTTTTTTAAAAGCAAAGTACATAACTCAAACTTTCAGAAAGCAGGGTATATACTCTTCAGCTGAATCAACATTTTGGCTTAGGAAAGGTTTCACAGGAATGATCTACTTTTGCACAGTACAGGAAACCTGTATTTTTAGTACTTATGAGATAACAGGCCCATTTTTCTGGTAAGTTAGATGTTATCGTAACATAAAAGATTTATCATCCTATCCAGTAGAAAGAATATAAACTCCCCACCCTTCTGCCTTCTCAGATTTAAGAGACACAGAAGGAAATACATCCCAAATTTAGCTGATTTTTTGTGTTAATCAAACACATCAAGAATATTGTTGATCTAAAGTCAAAAACAGTCTTGTGTTTGTCTTGTCCGTCTTGACCTGACAGCCAAAACTGAATTACTGAGAACAATTTGGATTCTTATAGCTATTATAGCAGTGCAGGCATTTATAAAAAGTTTTTATTTTTCGGGAACAAATGCCAACAAAGTCTGCTCTCAAAGAAACAACATTTAAAGAATAATCTTTTTTCTACATATTTTGCTGGTATTTAAAGTCTTACAAGTTGTTGAGGGTATAATGCATTAAAAGTCATTAAAAATTGCCCAAACCATATAGTTCAACTTGAATCTTATATTGAATCTTTTAGTAATCATTTGGGCAAAGTTAGAATTTTAATAAGCAAAATAGTAATGGCTACCTTTTTCTTTACCACAAAGAGATGCATGGTTTTTTTCAGAAGTGATTAAAAAAAAAAGTATAAATTAGTTTCAAAAGCTCTAAGGATTCATCCACACTAACATATTTGCACCTCAATTCTGAAATCTTTAGTCTTTTTAACGACAAAGTTTGAATAGAACAGAAGAGCTGTCTTTTATTGCACTATGTTGGCACTTGGTTACAGTATTAGAAAAATAAAAAATTACTATTGGATCAATTATCAACATATTTCTGTAAAAAATGGGTGGTATCACAAAACTTTATATTTTAATCTCCTCAAGATTTAGAAATCTTGCAATGTTTTTTACTGCTAAACCAAGGAACATCAATTTCTGCTTTCCATACACTCATTTCACTATACACTTAGCTATCAATTTAGAAATACATTAAAGGATAAGAAGTACTCAATATGATTTCACTTACATATGGAATCTAGACAACACAGCAAACACACAAAACAGAAAAAAGACTCACAGACAGAACATTCTGGCAGTTATCACAGGGGAGGCAGCGGATGGGTGAAACAGATAAAGGGGGTAAAGAAAATTTGAATGTTCGCTACCTTGACCTGGATGACAGTTATATGAACATATACCCATGTCAAAATTCACTGAACTGTATGCTAAGATTTGTGCATTTTATTGTATGTACCTCAATTTTAAAAAGTACTCAAATCACATTTTGCAAAGTAATCATGAAGAAGCCAACGGAATTTACATATGCAGAATTCTCATGAAATGTAAGTACCTGTACCAGTTGGTGAGGGTCATCATGATATAAAGTGAAGCCAGGAAAAGCATGAAGTGAAAGAAGGAATAACTATAAGTCACACCATCCTTTTCATTATCCACAGCCCGGTGGATGTCATCTCCATCCTCTAATGAACCATCACTTCTGGCTCCACCATCTTCTATTAATGTTGACTCATCACTTGTTAGAGTCAGTTTATTGACCTGACTATTGTTTGAAGTACGGATGCTGCATAAAAGACAATTTAGGAAGAGAAGGAAAAAAAGGAGTACTTAAAAACTATGATTCATAAATAGCTAGACTTCTTGTAAAAAAAAAAATATGTAGTTTCTCTTACCTTGAATAAAACACACACAATAAAAAGAAAATTAGTCCTATAATTCCTTGAGCATGCCACCACTGGACAGACTGCCCCTCCTTTGGGATAGTGCTTGTTGTATTGAACCCAATTATGCTTAGTAGACTTGGGTTGCAATTTGTTTCTGTAATGTAAATTAAGGTCAAATTAAAATGTCACAATAGTATAAAAAATAATTTATTTTCTAGGGTGTAATTATAGTTCTTTGTAATTTTTATACCTTTGCAAATTCAAAAACTTTTGCTAGGAAAGTGAAGTATAAAAAAAAAATACTTTAAGACAACTTATATTTACTAATAATGAGACCTTTTAAATTTTAGTGTGCTAATTTTATAGAAGTGCATGGAAAATTTAATTTCATTTTGAACCTAATGCAGGAGCTAATAGTATTAAGCTTTTACCTAACAATCAAGTGAAATTTAGATGAACTCTAAAGTACAATAAAACTCTAACAGAAGTAAAATTCAGATCTCTAAACCACAACACACTAGCTTTCCTACTATATAATGCAAGGTAACAACAGTGACTTTGTTTATCAATTGTCAAAGTACACTGTTACATGGCAAGAGAGTTTATCTGTAAAACCAGTTACTAGAATTTTAGCAAATGATTTGTAGAAATGACCATGTAAGTTATTAATAGCCTAATGCTTATTCAGTATCTTAACTTCTGTTAAGAATTAAAATATGTTCACTAAAGTGTCTCAAATAGCTTTTTCCTCCCACAGATATGTCAATACCATGTTATTAATGAAAATGATTCATATCTTAAAGCTATTCAGATATGGATAACTTCTAAAGGACATTACTATTAATTATTAATAATCACTTTCCTGGACAAAACTAATAAAGAATCTTTCTATAATATCCTAAGAAAAAAACCTTTCTCTAACTAGTGAGAAAGTACCTACAGAGTTTGTAAACTCAATGAAATGAAATTCAGGTAACATATTTTATAACTTCTTTTTTAAGGAAAAGAGGCCATTTTCTTCCTTTCCAAAAAATAGTAATTTCTCACTTATTTGTTTCACCCCAAGTGACACTACTTGTTTCTATTCCCATGGAATCAGCAAATACCATATAAAGAGACTTATTAGAAAGCCTAGTTATATTCACTTACAAGGTAGTCACAGACAAAAATTTCAGTAAGTGGGAAAAAGTATATGGTTTACACTGAATCAAGAAGCATTTGATAGCTTTTCTTTCTTTCTATATATACTGTATTATATGCACTGTGCAAATTAGGTATTTCTTACAATTTTCAGGTTAAGTTTTTATAACTTTCTATATAATTTTGTTAGTGAAAAAAGAAATTAAATGGAAGTAATGTAGCAATGTATCATAAAGATGAAAATAGATTTCAATGTTCTCTATTCTGCTAGGAGCTTAATTTCACAAAATACCATCTTTGAAAAAAAAGAAAAGTTATAGGCAGAACTCATTAAAAAGAAACAAACCCTAGCAAACACCACATACCTGGTTCATTGGTCATAGCAGACCATGTTAGATACATTGTGTAGACTGTAATCACTGATGACTGTAACAAACCAGATCTTGGCTGTGACTCCTATAATATAAAGTTAAGCAACACAGAAACAGTCTGACATCATTCAATATTTAAGAAAACTTAGAAAAATAGAAGTTTCATAAAAACTAATGAAAGAGCATACTTGGATTTTTGGCAGTATAGACATTACAGAGGCACCAAGGCAGAGAAGCATGTTGACACTGATGAACACTTTATTTTCTGTACAACTGGCTGGATGAGTGTAGTAAACAAAGAATATAACAATAGCAACTAAAGACAGTAGATAATTCAGAGCTGTAGCTGATAACAGAGCTGTGGAAGAAATATAATTAGATAGTTAGATTTTATTAAATACTAGGAATTAGATGCAGGGCTCATTTTAAAAACAATCTTATTTTATTCAAAAATAGTTTTTAAGCAAGTAACATTGACAGAATTATGTACTATGCTTTTAGCAGGGAAGAATATTCTGAACTTTATCACATATTTTATAGTCTTTATACATAGCTCACTATCATGGTCTATTTCCAAGGAAAACAAGTTATTAATATATTAATATGATTTATTAATAGTGATATCTATATTACAGTTTACAAAACACATATACTTGCCACTGCTTTCAAAATACAGAAAAATAATAAGGGTAGTATTACTTAAGGTTTTTAAAGAACCATAATCATTAAGTTGTAACCAAGGGCATTAATAAACAAAATTATTTTCATTATTAATGCTAAACCCACAAAACAATGGTACTAAAATCTTTAAAAAAATTTTTATTATGTAAGAGTAGTTATTATTATTTAACAAGACAACCAAAATTTCTTCTATGGAAATTTCAACATGAACAGTGGGTTAGTTTTTCAGTTTTTAGTATTTTTTGTCATATGAGTTTGATATACATTTATTTATTATGTAGGCATGCCTCACTGACAGAGGATTCATCCAACAAATATTGATTTAATGCCTATAAAACTCCAGGCCCTGGAGATAGAGCAGAGAAAAAAACAGAAACTCTTATACTAGACTTTGCATTAAAGTATGAGGTAGTCTTTTAAGTGAATTTTCCAAATGACTAAAGCTTTACTTGAAATCAAATACCACAAACTTAGTTGTGTAAGAGAACTTAACAGTTCTCTTAGGTTTAGGTGAGCAGATATACTGGATTTAACTTTCACTCAGGTGACAGTATTTTTTGAGCTGAAACTCAGATATTTCACATAAAAAATCTAGATTTATGGCTCTGGGAAAAAAAATCAAAAACTGAGAAACACTGGGTTTACATTTCCCCAAGGCAACCAGCGGATGGAACTGAGGAGTAGCTACACTCTTTAGATTGGCCTTCATGCTCTCTACTTCATCACAGTCCCTACTATTTGCACAAGTACATATTTGAATATATACTTAAACCTGGTTCTCTCCCCTAATCTCTGTCACCTTTTGTAAACATCTGTTTTATACTATAACCATAGGACTCAAGCTCATCATTATAAACAAACATTAATTACACTGCTAATAGAATTCCCTTAGGTATTACTTATACATATAAAGGTATCTTTGCACTTTATAAATGTTTCAGAGCTGCTTTTTATTTTTTTCCACTTGCTAATGTTTATTAATTATGCTACTGTTTATCTATTTCCAGCAGTCCTAGCCTCTTTAGTATTTTACTTTTAACATGCTGCACAGTAGGAAATTAAGCTGTAAAAAGCATACCCCTCCAGTAACAGGCTTTGGACCATGCATTTTAGCCATTTAGAGTATTCTTGATTGTTTCCCGGTTGTTTGGTATGTTCCTAATTCATTTACCAAATCTTCTCTCAACAAGTGAAGTGGCTGATACAATGTAATATGATGCCACTCAGAAACTTCAAGGAAAAACCTCCTCAAAAAAAATTGTGCATAAAAATCATGATTTCCCAAGTTTACATATCTGTTCTTTCCTCTTCAAAGTTCAACTACCTGAAAATAGTGTGTAAGAAAACAGCTTACCTGCATACCAACATCTTGAGTTTCCTTCTTCCATTTTTTCAACCCATGACTCATTCCATGAATGGGCAAAATCAATAAGTAAGACTAGCTGTATGAGGATGAAGCAAAACGCACCTGCCATGCCTACGTAAAACCACACTGGAAAAAAACATACATACACACACACACCACAAATGAGTATTATTACATTTTTACAATCACAAAGGGAAAACAGAATTTAACATAAACACCTTGATATTGTCAACTGGAAAAAATTTTTAAAAAACAAGTAGTTACAGTTTCCAGCAACAATTATTTCAGTTTCTTTATAAAATAACACCATCACACACCTAAAAAAAAAATTTCTCACCAGTTGTAAAAGTTCCTTCTGGAATGAAGAAAGCCCCAATAATAATTGCAATAGCTGCAGCAAATTTAAAGAACCAGAACCTAAAACAAAAGGAAATATAATTTTTATTAGTAAACATTCATTCAGCAGTTTCATATATGAAATCTTTTAAGAGCACCTTAAAAGAACAACTACACTTAATGTGACTGTTCTGAGGATATCCTGAAAATGAGATGTAAAGACTATTATGAAAACTGTTTTAGGACAGTTTTAATAAAGATATATTTGTCATTAATTCATTATGATACAATGAGAATATTAGCTCCTTTTCACAGGTTTATTTTACATGTGTGGGATAATATGTGAAAGGGTAATAAGCAATAAGGTACACTGTACAAATGAGTAGGTTTTAAAAACGTGATAAATGCCTTGTCCAAAACTCTGATAACTTAAAACAACCAGCTTTTAAGACTCAGCATTATGGTGGCATAAGACATCCTTAATTCTTGCCCCCTATTTTTTAAAACTAATTAGGCATTCATCCATAACAAAAATGCTCTTGTGGTAGTTGCAGGACCCAGAAATATATGCCAAGAGATCCCAGAGGAATCTCCTGCACCTGTGCATTTGGTAGTAGGCAAACAGACTTTGGTATGGACTATGGAAACAACAAACCTGACCCAACCCTCCTGGCCATCATTGGGGAAAATCTGGAAAGTGCTAATATGGGCAAATAACCACAGACAATAAAGAATTTGCATAAGTCTAACCCTCCTGAGAGGACATTCTAGCACTCCATATGAAAAAAAAAACAAAAAAGTTTTCAGTGCAACAGAGATGGGAAGAGAAATTTTATCAGCACTGCCCCTTCAACCAAGGTGACAAAGCATGAACACTATCTATTGGGAACCTTTCCAACTGGGGAAAAGGAGAGCTGTAAGCAATCACTGGCCCTCTAGTTCTCACAGAACAATTCTGGAGAAACCTTTCTCTCCAGCAGCACCCAGAATACCGAGGCAGGACCTCCACAGCTAAGGAGGGTGAGGAGATTGAGAAAAAAGGCAGAACTCTGAGTGCTAAAAATCTGCAGCCAGCCTCTTGGGTATACTCCCGAGTGTGGTCCGGAAAGCAGATCCAGTAATAGGCATGCTCTGAGAAAAATAGACCACGGTCTGTGGCAAGAGAGAAATCACAAAATTTGAACTGTAGTGCCACCTTCTGGAACACAGAAAAGATTTCCAGTAGCTAGCCTGGTGAGTTTTAAGAACCAGCAAGGCACAAATGCTTAAAAAATTCTTCCACAAAAGGAGCAGGAAGTGTGGGACAGGCATGCAAATATGAGGTTGGAGAGAGCCCCAGGAATAACAGGACCAATGAACAGTATACCCCATGTGAAGGCAAAAACTGAGGATCTGCAGTGTCTGCTACTTCAAATGTAAAAGCAGCAACACAAAGCTACAAGGAACATGAAGAATCAAGAACACATTTCACCACCACAAGGTTAACAACAATCCTCCAATAACTGAGCTCAAACACATGGAATCTTGCAATCTAGCAGATGAAGAACTCAAAATAACTGTTTTGAGGAAACTTAATGAGCTTTAAGAAAATACAGAAAGATAGTACAATGAAATCGGAAAAAAAACCCTGAACAAACAAGAAATTCAGCAGAGTAAGAAATCATTAAAAAGAACTAAATTCTGGAGCTGAAGAATTAACAGAGGAAATGAAAAATGCAATAGAGAATATCTGCAGCAGGGAAGTTTAAATGAAAGACACAATAAGTGACCAAGAAGACATGAATTTTGAAATAAGCCAATCAGGTGAACAGAGGAAGAAGAATAGAAAAGAGCAAAGAAAGCCCATGTTATCTGCAGGATTCAAATATTAGAATAATTAGGGTTCCAGAGGAAAGGAGAGGGGGATGGGGCAACAGAAAGTTTATTTAAAGAAATACCTGATACTTTCCCAAAAAGTATTAGCCATCCACGTTTACAAAACTAATGGATCATACTATTACCTCAATGCAAAAAGACCTTCTCTAAGACACATTATGTAATAAAACTGTCAAAAAAGAAAAATAAAGAATCCTAAAAGCAATCAAAGAAAAAAAAGATTGTAATCTACAAAGGGATCTTCCACGAGGCTATCAGTGAATTTCTTAGCAGAAATGCTAAGGGCCAGGAAAGAGTGGAAGGACATACTTGAAATGTTGAAGAATAAAATCTGCCAGCCAAGAATACTCTGTGGCAAAGTTATCCTTCACGAGAAATAGCCTTTCCCAGACAAACAAAAGCAAGCTGAGGTTTACCACTACTAGATACCTGCCTTACACAAACTGGTGAAAGCAGTTCCTCAAACTGAAATGAAAAGATGTTCACCAGTGATATGAGAACACATGGAAGCATACAGCAGCACCCTAGTAAAGATAAATACACAGAAAACTCTAATTCTGTAACAGTATAATATATTAACTATAAAAGTTAAAACAAAAAGACATTAAAGAAACTCTTAAGTGTTAATGAGTACACAATACAAAGAGTTGTGACATCAAAAATATAAAAGGGGAAGAGTAAATGAATTGAGCTTTGGTATACAATTGAAATTAAGTTGCTATCACCTTAAAATGAACTGTTTTATCTCTAAGATGTTTTATGCAAGCCTCATAGCAATCACAAAGCAAAAAACTAGAGTAGATTCACAAAAAAATAAATAAATGAAAACCACGAATTTACAAAGGTGGGCAGAAATGAAGGGAGGGAAAAAAAGGAAATATAAACCAACCAAAGAGCAATGAATAAAATGACATTAGTAACACCTTAAATATGAATGATTACCCTAAATGTCTATGTATTGAACTCACCATCAAAAGGAACAGAGTTTCTGGACAGATAAAAACAAGACCCCAAAAGAGTCTTGCATATTCTGCACACAAGACTCATTTCAAATTTAAGGATACATACACAAAAATGGTAAAAGATATTCCATGCAAATGGCTAGCATACATCTATCAGACAAAATAGACTTTAAACTAAAAGCATTGACAAAAGACAAAGGAGGTCATCATATAATGATAAAGGGGTCAATTCACAGAGAAGATAGAACTATTATAAATATATACCTACCCATCTCAGAGAACCCAAATGTATTAAGCAAATATTAACAGATCTGATGGGTGAAATGGACAATACAGTAACAACAGAGAACTTCAATATCGGGTTATCAGCAAATGGGTAAGTCATCCAGATAATCAACAAGGAAACACTGGACTTGAACCATACATTAGACCAAATAGGCCTAGCAGACATTTACAGAAAATTCCATCCAACAGCATACACATTCTTCTCAAATGCCCATGGAATTCTCCAGGACAAATCATACACAGGACACAAAACAAGTTTAAACAAATTTAAGAAGACTGAAATAATACAAAGTATCTTTTCTGACCACAAAAGAATGAAACTAGAAACCAGTAAGAGAAAAGCTGAAAATTTATAAGCAATGTAGAAAGAACCCACTCTTGAAAAACTGAGGAAATCAGAAACCAAAAGGGAAATTTAAGAAAATCTCAAAACAAACAAAAATGGAAACACAACATATATAACAAAACTTAGGATAGATACTGTAAAAGCAGATTATAACAATTAATGTATCTATAAATAGATCTCAAATGAGCAACTTAATTTTCACCTCAAAGACTAGAAAAAAGAACCAAGTAAGTCTGAAGTTAGCAGAGTGAGGAAATAAATGCCAGAGTATAAACAAATAAAACAGAGATGAGAAAAATAGAAAAGATCAAAGAAATTAGAGTTGATATTTTGAAAAGGTAAAATTTAAAACTTTTAGCTAGACTAAAAAAAAAAGCCTGAAGACTAAAAATCGTAAATGAAAGTAGAGACTTTACAACTAATACTACAGAAAAACACAGGATCATAGAGAGTGCTATGAACAATTATATGTCAACAAATTAGATAACCTAAAAAAAAAGGATAAATTCTTAGAAACAATCTTATCAAAACTCAATCAAGAATAGAAAATCTGAACAGACCAACAAGGAAGAAGACCGAATCAATAATCAAAAACCTCCCAACATAGAAAAATCCAAAACCAGAGGACTTCACTGGTGAATTTTATCAAACATTTAAAGTAATGCCGATCCTTTTCAAACTTCCAAAAAAATGAAGAGGAGGGTCACTTCCATATTAATTTTACCAGGGCAGTATTAACTTGATGCCAATGTCAGAAAAAGGATACTACAATAAAACTATAGAACAATTTTCCTGGTGAAAACTGATTCAAAAGTTTTCAAAATATTAGTAAACCAAATTCAACAACACATTAGGATTATAGAACCACAACCAAGTGGGATTTGTCCTTGGGATGCAAGGATGGTTCAAAATATGCAAAGTAGTAAGTGTGATAATTGAATGAAAGATAAAAATCACATGACCATCACAATAGATGCAGAAAAAGCATTTCACAAAATACAACATTTTTTCATGATAAAAACCCTCAATAAACTGGGTATAAAAGGAACATACCGCAATCTAATAAAGGCCCCGCAATCTAATAAAGGCCATATACAACAAACCCACAGCTAATATACTTCAATTGAAAGGTTTTCCTCTACAGTTAGAACAATACAAAGGTGCTGATTCTCACCACTTTTATTAGTACTTACCTGAAGTCCTAGCTATAGCAATTAGGTAAGACAAAAAAAATAAAAGGCTGAATTGTAAAGGAAAAAGTAAAATTGTCAATATTTGCAGATGATATGATCTTAGAAAGTCCTAAAGACTCAACTATTCAAACTAATGAACATATTGAACAAAGTTACAGGATATGAAAACAACATAAAGAAGCTGCATTTCTATACACTAAAAAGGAAATACCTGAAAGAAAAAAGAAAACTATCCCACTCACAATAGCACCAGAAACAATAAAATACTAGAACATTTAGCCAATGAAGTGAAAGATCTGCACAATGAAAACTACAAGACTTTGAAGAAAGTAAAAAAGACACAAACAAATGGTAAGATACCCATGTTCATGAATATGAAGAATGCTGTTAAAATGTCCATAGTACTTACCCAAATCCATCTACAGATTCAATGCAATCCCTATAATAGTTTCAATAGCATTTTCACAGAAATATAAAAAACTATCCTAAAATTTGTATGAAACCACAAAAGACCCTAAATAGCCAAATGATGATAAAGAACCATAAAACTGGAGGTACCACATTTAAACACTGGTTTCAAGCTATACTACAAAGCTACAGTAATCAAAATAGTCTGGTACTGGCCTAAAACTAGACACATAAGCCAATGGAACTGGACAGAGAGCTTAGAAATAAACCCCTGCATTTCTGATCCACTAATCTTTGACAGAGGAGTCAGGAACACTCAATGGGGAAAGAACAATCTCTTTAACAGATAGTACTGGGTGAACTGGATAACCAAAAGCAGAAAAACGAAATTGGGCCCCTATCTGACACCACTCACAAAAATTAACTCAAAATGGATTGAAGATTTTAACATTAAGACCAAATATAATAAAAGATAGTAGGAGGATACTGATACTAAGAAGAGAACAAAGAAACAGACTCTTAACATTAGTTAGTTTTGATAATGAGTTTTTGTATGACACACTAAAAGCACAAACACAAAGATAAGAGGGACACTGCATCAAACTAAAAAGTTTCTGCATAGCAAAAGGAATACTCAACGAAATGAAAAGCAGCCTAAAGAACAGGAGAAAATATTTGCAAAGCATGTACTTGTTAAGGGGTTAATATCTGATACATATAAAGAACTCATATAACTCAATAACCAGAAAAGCAATCAGATTAAAAAAATAGTTGGAGTAACTAAAGGTACTTTTCCAAAGGAGACACACAAATGACCAAAAATGGGTATATGAAAAGGTGTTCAATATCACTAATGATTAGGGAAATGTAAATTTAAAAAACCATTATGAGGTATCATCTCACACCTGTTACAATGGCTATCATCAAGAAGACAAAAAACAACAAATGTTAGCAAGGATGTGGTGAGAAGGGATCCCTTGTGCACTGCTGGTAGGAATGTAAACTACTTCAGCCACTATGGGAAACAGTTTGAAGTTTCCTCAAGTAATTAAAAATAGAACTGATCCAGCATATGATCTAGCACATGATCCAGCCATTTTACTTCTAGGTATATATCCAAAGGAAATAAAAATTGGATACCAGAAAGATTTCTGCTCTTCCATGTTAACTGCAGCATTATCCAGAGTGGGCAAGATATGAAAACAATCTAAGTGTCTATCAATGGATAAATGGACAAAAAAACTGTGGTGTAAACACACTGTAATATTATACAGCCACAAAAAAAAAAAAAAGAAAATCCTGGTACTTTCAACAACATGGTTGGACCTGGAGGACATTATGCTAAGTAAGATAGGCCAGAAAAAGACAAATACTGTATACTATCACTAATATGGAATCTGAAAAATTATACTTGTAAAACCAAAGAACATGATGGTGATTTCTAGTCTGTCAAGTGGGGTAACTGGGAGATGTTGTTAAGGGGACAAACTTGCAACTAGTAAATAAATACTGGAGAATAAATAAAAAGCAATACTGTACTATAGACTTCAAAGGCACTAAGAGACTATAGTAACTGTTCTCACAACAAAAAAAGAAATAATAATTATGTGATGAGACAGAGGTATAAATCTAATGCTATGATGATATTGCAATATAAAAGGCTATGAAATATATGATAAAGGAGCCATGGACATAAAATGGGGAAATGACAGCCTCTTCAAAAGCTGGTGCTGGCAAAACTGGACAGCTACATGGAAGAGAATGAAACTGGATCACTGTCTAACCCCATACACAAAAGTAAATTTACAGTAGATCAAAGACCTGAATGTAAGTCATGAAACCATAAAACTCTTAGAAAAAAATATAGGCAAAAATCTCTTGGACATAAGCATGAGTGACTTTATGAACATATCTCCCCAGGCAAGGGAAACAAAAGCAAAAATGAACAAGTGGGACTATATCAAGCTGAAAAGCTTCTAGATAGCAAAGGACACCATCAATAGAACAAAAAGGCATCCTACAGTGTGGGAGAATATATTCATAAATGACAGATCCGATAAAGGGTTGACATCCAAAATATATAAAGAGCTCATGCACCTCAACAAACAAAAAGCAAATAATCCAATTAAAAAATGGGCAGAGGAGCTGAACAGACAGTTCTCCAAAGAAGAAATTTAGATGGCCAACAGACACAAGAAAAGATGTTCCACATTGCTAGTCATCAGAGAAATGCAAATTAAAACCACAATGAGGCATCACCTCGCACCAGTAAGGATCGTCACCATCCAAAAGACAAACAACAACAAATGTTGGCAAGGTTGTGGAGAAAGGGGAACCCTCCTACACTGCTGGTGGGAATGTAAATTAGCTCAACCGTTGTGGAAAGCACTATGGAGGTTCCTCAGAAAGCTCAAAATAGAAATACTATTTGACCCAGGAATTCCACTTCTAGGAATTTACCCTAATACAGCAGCCCAGTTTCACAAAGACATATGCACCCGAATGTTTATCACAGCACTATATTACAGTGGCCAAGAAATGGAAGCAACCTAAGCGTCCATCAGGAGATGAACAGATAAAGAAGATGTGGTACATATACACAGTGGAATATTATTCAGCCATAAGAAGAAAATAAATCCTACCATTTTCAGCAACATGGATGGAGCTAGAGGATTTTACGCTCAGTGAAATAAACCAGGCAGAGAAAGACAAGTATCAAATGATTTCACTTATATGTGGAGTATAAGAACAAAGAAAAAACTGAAGGAACAAAACAACAGCAGAATCACAGAACCCAAGAATGGACTAACAGTTACCAAAGGGAAAGAGACTGGGGAGGATGGGTGGGAAGGGAGGGATAAGGGTGGGGAAGAAAGGGGGCATTACAATTAGCATGTATAATGTGGGGCGGGGGCACAGGGAGGGCTGTGCAACACAGAGAAGACAAGTAGTGATTCTACAGGTACTTTATAATAAGATAGTAGGAGGATACTGATACTAAGAAGAGAACAATGAAACAGACTCTTAACATTAGTTTTGTTGTTGGATCTTACTACGCTGATGAACAGTGACTATAATGGGGTTTTTTGGGGGACTTGGTGATGGGGGGAGTCTAGTAAACATAATGTTCCTCATGTAATTGTAGATTAATGATACCAAAAAAATAAAAAAATAAAAAAACAGTTATGAAATCAACAATTAGTACACATTAAACCTACACAATGTTATATGTGAATTGTATCTCAATTTAAAAAAATATGTAACAAAGATAGCTGTTAAGAGTGCTACACACCATGCTACTTTAAAAAGAGTGCCATCTTGGAAAACGGTTGTGAAAGACATTCTGTAATGTATTTGAAAAATGTTTAAAAACACATTAAATAAAGTGGTTACAAGAATTCTAAAGAAAATTGTAAAAAACCCAATGACTAAGGAAGGGGACAAAATAAAATAAAATCATGAATATTAATATTTCACTGGTTCGTTTTTCCTGTCTTTGATAGTATAAGTTAATAAATAAGCAATAGCAGATACTCAAAATATTTTTTTAACTTATGGGAAAGAAAAGATAGAGATAAAATTTAAAACATTCAAACTGAATAAGAGAAATAGTGATCTAAAAGGGACCATGAGGTTTCTTTCTAGATTACCTAGTATAACCAAACCATTTAGAAAATCCATCACACTGTTCAGGAATAAAGTTTTTCAATTTGCCTGTACCGTAGGTCTAAGGACCCGAGTTCAGTTTCAAGACTGGTCTTGACCAAAAGCTGTAAGGGGAGAAGGAGGAGTCAGCTCTTCATTGTTAGTTACAGATACAGAACAGCTTTTGGTGATGAAAATATAAAACATTGTGTGTCAGGAATTATACCAAAAATGGCCCAAAACTTCTTATTTTAATTTTTTAAAAATCTGATATTCTCTAGCAGAGAGGATTTTATATCATTCATGAATAGGAAAATAATTCTAAAAACAATGTAAGTTTACTTTAGTTTTTTAACACATACTAAGAGGCTACCAGACTTTTTTATATTGAACTTTATTCAAAACCTTACCCATTGTGCACTGCAGCTCTAGGATCACTGCTGCTCTTCACTTTGATCATTAGTAGAGAGAGAAGAAGATAGAACATAGCCAAGCCAAAGCACAAACGGTATACAGCTTTATAGCCAACCAGAATATTACAAGGGACAACACCTTTCTCGTTCTCACAAAATCCAGGAATCTACAAAAACAAAAGTTAGTGACCCAGAATATTTTCAAGTAAAAATTAAAATTATGTATAGTAAGACAATCTAAGTAAAAGGTTTAGAAAGCTGAAGTTCATTTTATAGTTTGTGCTATGTAATGAAGTCTGGAACATACTCATCCAATAAAAGTTTAACTCATTTTTCATGTTATGTGAGCACACAATAACTACAAATGCCAATGCAACTCTGCTTTTGACTTGCAGATTTATTCTCAATGTTTAAAAACTTGCATCCTCTATGATATATTGAATTACCTGTATTAAGAATGGAAAAAAGAATACAATCAATAAAAGCTGAAAAAATTAGAGAGTACCTAATCCATTCCTAAATGCTAAAGAGAACAATGATGGCTTTTCAAAGCCAATGCTACTTAAATTCATTTTAAGTTTGATCCTTTATTCTACAAGTGTTATTTCTGATAAAGAATGGATTTGGATTAACATTACAACTGAAAGTGATTTGTTTTTAAATTTAGAATATTGAAAAAGATTTATGACCATTTTAGAAAGTCACATTAGAATCAGAATACAAAAAATACATATTTTTAAGTGAAAGAAATGGGAGTAGTCATCAGAAGTACATACATTATTTGTATGTATGAGAAGGAATTATTTCCTCTAGAAAATGTTAAAGCAAACCAATATGCCAAAATATAACTGCTAATTTCTACCTTTAAAACCAAGAACTTGAAATTGTATTTAAGCATATGGAGGTGCTAACTTCCTTTTTGGTAGTTTCTACAATAGTCTATAAGTCCTTTCTTGGTCTCACTTAATTCTTACCTTCCCAACCAGTTTAAACCTTATGTAAATACGTACTTACCCATACTCACTTGCAACATAACACTAACCTTCAATTATTCCACTTTTTTGTATATGAGAACAGTATACCACCTGGCTAGTTCCTATTATTAAGTTAATAAAAGCATCCTCAGAAGAAGCTCCTACTAAACACCAGTGGTTAAAACAGAAAAGGTAGATTTCTTGCTCATATAACATATTAATGTGTACATAATTGGTCCTGAACAGTTAATCTGATCAGGAGGCCAGGATGTTGGAGAAGCTACCATTTCAAATGATGTACAGGTTATGATAAAAAGAAAGGATATCTTGCATCACCAAGAGGATGATGTGTATCATTTCCACTCACAATTCTCTTATCAGTACTAAGGACACAACCATACGTATCACAAGCATCACAAGCACTCCTCTAGGTAATGCAAATCCTTGATGAACTTCAGAAAGCAGAGGAGGTGATAAACTATTCATAAACATGGTCAACTGGATCCATGGAACTATATAAATGTCTCTTGCCATGTCTTTTGCTTATACTAAGGACTTCAATAACATTAATTCAGCACTCACATACGCCATGCACAATGCTAGCTACTTTCACAATCTTAATAACCTCACTTCCTAAACTTACTTTTCCTTGCCCCAAGACCACCCCAAGCAGACAACTGTGCTTTAAAATGGAGGTCAACTGACACAAAAACTCTCTTAACTTCATATTTTCTACGGTCATTCATCTTGCCTTGGAAGGAAGCTAACTTCTATACCTCTTGTTGATCACCTACCCCTGCTTTCAGAGATTAGATGTTTTTTTTATTAAGGTGTCACTGATATACACTCTTATGAAGGTTTCACAAGAAAAACAATGTGGTTGATACATTCACCAATATTATAGAGTACCACACATACCCATTGCAGTCACTGTCCATCAGTGTAGTAAGATGCCACAAAGTCACTACTTGTCTTGTCTGTCTTCCCCATGGCCTCCCTACACACCATGTGAGGTAATCATAATACCCTCAATCCCCTTCTCCTGCCCTTTCCCAGCCCACCCCTTTGGTAACTACTAGTCCTTTCTTGGAGTCTGTGAGTATGCTGCTGTTTTGATCCTTCAGTTCTGCTTCATTGTTATACCCTACAAAAGACAGAAATCATTTGGTATTTGTCTTTCTCTGCCTGACTTATTTCACTGAGCATAATACCCTCAAGCTCCACCCATGTTGTTGCAAATGGTAGGATTTGTTTCTTTCTTATGGCTGAATAGTATTCCACTCTGCATATGTACCACCTCTTCTTTATACATTCATCTATGATGGACACTTAGGTTGCTTCCATATCTTGGCTATTGTAAATAGTGCTGCAATAAATATAGGGGTGAATATGTCTTTTTGAATCTGAGTAATTATATTCTTTGGGTAAATTCCAAGATTGGAATTCCAGGGTCCAATGGAATTTCTACTTTCAGTTTTTTGAGGAACCTCCATATTGCTTTCCACAATGGTTTAACTAGCTTACATTCCTACTCCCACCAGCAGTATAGGAGGGTTCCCCTTTCTCCGCATCCTTGCCAGCATTTGTTGTTCTTAGTCTTTTCGATACTGGCCATCCTAACTAGTGTGAAGTGATATCTCATTGTGGTTTTCATCTGTATTTTCCTGATAATTAGCGATGTGGAGCATCTTTTCATGCCTGTTGGCCATCTGAAGTCCTTCCTTGGAGAAGTGTCTATTCATATACTCCACCCATTTTTAATAGGGTTATTTGCTTTCTGGGTCTTGAGGTATGTGAGTTCTTTATGTATTTTGGATGTTAACCCTCTGTAAGGTATGTCATTTACAAATATATTCTCCCATATCGTACGATGCCTTTTTGTTCTGCTGATAGTGTCCTTTGCTGTACAGAAAGCTTTTTAGCATGATGTAGTCCCATTTGTTCATTTTACCTTTGTTTCCCTTGCCTGAGGAGATGCATTCAGGAAAAAGTTGCTCGTTTATATTCAAGACATTTTTGCCTATTATGTCTTCTAGAAGTTTTTTGGGGTTTCATGACTTACATTCAGGTCTTTGATCCATTTTGAGTTTACATTTGTGTATGGGGTTAGACAATAATCCAGTTTCATTGTCTTGCATGTAGCTATCCAGTTTTGCTAACACCAGTTGTTGAAGAGGCTGTCATTTCCCCATTGTATGTCCATGGCTCCTTTATCATATATTAATTGATGATACATGCTTAAGTGTATATCTGGGCTCTCTAGTCTGTTCCACTGGTCTATGGTTCTGTCCTGTGCCAGTACCAAATTGTCTTGATTACTGTGGCTTTGCAGTAGAGCTTGAAATTGGGGAGCATAATCCCTCCAGCTTTATTCTTCCTTCTCAGGATTCCTTTGGCTATTTGGGGGGGCTTTTGTGATTCCACATAAATTTTAGAACTATTTGTGCTAGTTTGTTGAAGAATGCTGTTGGTATTTTGATAGCGATTGCACTCAATTGCTTTAGGCAGGTTGGCCATTGTGAGAATAATAATTCTTCCTATCCATGAGCACAAGATGTGTTTCCATTGATTGGTATCTTTAATTCCTCTCATGAGTGCCTTGCAGTTTTCAGAGTATAGGTCTTTCACTTACTTGGTTAGGTTTATTCCTAGGGATTTTATTCTTTTTGATGCAAGTGTGAATGGAATTGTGTTTCTGATTTCTCTTTCTGCTAGTTCATAGTTCGTGTATAGGAATGCAATTTCTGTGTATTAATTTTGTATCCTGCAACTTTGCTGAATTCAGACATTAGATCTAGTAGTTTTGGAGTGGATTCTTTCAGGTTTTTTATGTACAATACCATGTCATCTGTAAACAGATCTTCTTCTTTACCAATCTGGATGCCTTATATTTCTTTGTGTTGTCTGCCGTGGCTAGGACTACAGAACTATGTTGAATAGAAGTGGGGAGACTGGGCATCCTTTTCTTATTCCTCATCTTAGAGGAAAAGCTTTCAGCTTTTTACTGTTGAGTATGATGTTGTCTGTGGTTTCTCATATATGGCCTTTATTATGTTTAGGTACTTGCCCTCTATACACATTTTGTTGAAAGTTTTTATTAAGAATAGATGTTGAATTTTTTCTAATGCTTTTTTAGCATCTATGGAGATGATCATGTGGTTTTTGTCCTTCTTTTTGTTCATACGGTGGATGTTGTTGATAGATTTTCCAATATTGTACCATCCCTGCATCCCTGGAATAAATCCTACTTGATCATGATGGACGACCTTTTTGGTGAATTTTTTTGATTCAATTTACTTGTATTCTGTGGAGGATTTTTGCATCTATGTTCATCAGGGATATGGATAATTTTTTGTGGTGTTATTGCCTAGTTTGGGTATCAGAGTGATGTTGGCCTCATAGAATGAGTTTGAGAGTATTCCCACCTCTTCTACTTTTTAAAACTAAGGAATATGGGTATTAGGTCCTCACTAAATGTTTAAAATTCAGCGGTGAAGCCATCTGGTCCAGGGTTTTGTTCTTAGGTGGTCTTCTGATTACCAATTCAATTTCCTTGCTGATAAATGGTCTGTTCAGACTTTGTTTCTTACTGGGTCAGCCTTGGAACGTTGTAGTTTTCTGGAAACTTGTTTGGTTCTTCTAGGTTATCCAGTTTGTTAGTGTATAATTTTTCATAGTATTCTCTAATAATTCTTTATATTTCTATAGTGTCCGTAGTGATTTTTACCTTCTCATTTCTCATTCTGTTTATGTGTGTAGACTCTCTTTTTTTCTTGATAAAGTCTGGCTAGGGGTTTCTCTATTTTGCTTATATTCTCAAAGAACCAGCTTCTGCTTTCACTGATTCTTCCTATTGTTTTATTCTTCTCAATTTTATTTATTTCTGCTTTAATCTTTATTATGTCCCTCCTTCTACTAACTTTGGATCTCATTTGTGCTTCTTTTTCTAGTTTCATTAATTTTGAGTTTAGACTGTTCGTTTGGGATTGTTCTTCTTTCCTATGGTAGGCCTGTATTGCAGTATACGTCTGTCTTAGCATAGCCTTCGCAGCGTCCCACAGATTTTGCAGTGTTGAATTATTGTTGTCTTTTGTCTGCACATATTGCTTGATCTCAGTTTTTATTTGGTCATTGACCCATTGATTATTTAGGAGCATGTTGTTAAGCCTCCATGTGTTTGTGGGCTTTTTGTTTTCTTTGTGTAATTTATTTCTAGTTTCTTACCTTTGTGCTTTGAGAAGCTGGTTGGTACAATTTCAACTTTTTTAATTTAGTGAGGCTCTTTTTGTGGCCTAATATATGATCAATTCTAAAAAATGTTCCATGTGCACTTGAGAGGAATGTGTATCCTGTTGCTTTTGGGTGGAGTGTTCAGTAGATGTCTGTTAGGTCCAACTGTTCTCATGTGTTGTTCAGTGCCTTTGTGTTCTTATTTTCTGCCTGGTTGAACTTTCCTTTGGAGTGAGTGGTGTGTTAAAATGAATGCATTGCATTCTATTTTCTCCTTATTTCTGTTAGTGTTTGTTTCACATATATAGGTGCTCCTGTGTTGGGTGCATAGATATTTATAATGGTTATATCCTCTTTTGGGATTGACCTCCTTTATCATTATGTAATGCCCTGCTTTTGTCTCTTGTGACTTTCTTTTGAAGTCTATTTTGTCTGAAACAAGTACTGCAATGCCTGCTTTTTTCTCCCTATTAAGTTGCATGAAATACCTTTTTCCATCCCTTTACTTTCAGTCTGTGCATATCTGGGTTTGAAGTGAGTCTCTTGTAGGTAGCATATATAGATGGGTTTTTTAATCCATTCAGTGACTCTATGTCTTTTGATTGGTGCATTCAGGCCATTGACATTTAGGGTGATTTTCAATAGGTCTGTACTTATTGCTATTGCAGGCTCTGGATTCGTGGTTACCAAAGGTTCATGGGAAACTTCCTTACTAATAGTGTAATTTAACTCACTAGCTATCACAAACACAATCTAAAGGTTCTTTACTTTTTTCCCTTCTTTTTCTTCCTCTTCCATTCTTTATATATTAGGTATCACATTCTGTACTATTTGTCTATCCCTTGACTGACTTTGGGGTAGCTGATTCGATTTTGCATCTGCTTAGTAATTAATTGTTCTACTTTACTGTGTTTTTATTTCCCCTGGTGACAGCTATTTAGTCTAAGAAACACTTCCATATATAGCGGTCCCTCCAAAATACACTGTAGAGATGATTTGTGGGAGATAAATTCTCTCAGTTTTTGATTATCTGGAAGTTGTTTAATTGCTCCTTCAAATTTATATAATAATCTTGCCAGACAGAGTATTCTTGGTTCAAGGCCCTTCTGCTTCATTGCATTAAATAATATCATGTCACTCCTTTATGGCCTGTAAGGTTTCTTTTGAGAAGTCTGATGATAGCCTGATGCGTGTTCCTTTGTATGTGATCTTTTTTCTCTCTCTGGCTGCTTTTAATATTCTGTCCTTATCCTTGGTCTTTGCCATTTTAATTATTATATGTCTTGGTGTTATCTTCCTTGGTTCCCTTTTGTTGGGAGATCTATGTACTTCCATGGCCTGAAAGACTATCTCCTTCCTCAGATTGGGGATTTTTTCAGCAATTACCTCCTTAAAGACACTTTCTATCCCTTTTTCTCTTTTCTTCTTCTGGTACCTCTATAATGTGAATATTATTCTGTTTGGATTGGTCACACAGTTCTCTCAATATTCTTTCATTCCTAGAGATACTTTTTTCTCTCTGTGCCTCAGCTTCTTTGTATTCCTGTTCTCTAATTTCTATTCCATCTACATCTCTTCTACAACATCTAATGTGCTTTTAAATCACTCCATTCTATGTTTCATTTCAGAAATAGCATTCCTTACTGACAGAACCTCAGTCTGGAATTCTACCCTGAGTTCTTGAATATTTTGTACCTCCATGAGTGTGTTTATTATTTTTAATTTGAAATCTCTTTCAGGAAGTGATGAGTTCAGTTCCACTTGGCTCTTTTTCTGGTGTTTGTGGGATTTTGGTTTTAACCAGGTTCCTTTGACATTTCATATTTGTATGTGGCGCCCTCTAGTGCCCAGAAGCTCTACTCTCTGGAGCTGCTCAGCCCCTGGAGCGATGTGTGGGGTCGCAGGGAGCAGCGCTGGTGCCTTGGCTCGGTAAAGAGTTGTTTCCTGCGTCCCAGCTGCTGTGCCTGTATCCACTGCCAGAACAAGTGGGCTGAGCACACAGGTGTAAGCCTCTGTGCTTTGATTTTGTAGCTGCCATAGGTGGGGGCCTCCCTCTGGTTGGCCTGATGCCAGGGCAGGGGTTGCCAGTTTTCAAGCCAGTGCCAGCTGGGAGGAAGGCAAAGCAGGATGCATATCACGGTGGGGTCCTTGGAGCTGCATAGCCAGCCAGAGGGATGGAGTGCCTGAAGCTCCTAAAAGTTCCCAACCTGCTGGGCAGAGCGCATCCGGACAATTTTGTCCACCTGTTGTTTCTCCTGGGCAGGAAGCTCTGTGCAATCCTTTCCCCTTTAGCAGCCCTCTCGCTGTTAAGAAGTCTCTCGGACTGCCTGCCTTTCTTTTTGTCCCAGAGCAACCGGATGTGGATCCCTGTTTTCCATAAGCGGCTGGAATCTCAGTCTCTCCAAGTAGTCTGCCTGTCTTAGCTTTCCAACCCCACTAATCTCCAGAGCACCATGCAATGTATGTTCATGCTCCCAGAGCAGATCTCCAGGGCTTGGTGCTCAGCACTTCTAGGCTTCCAACCCCTCCCACTCCATTTCTCTTCCTCCCACCAGTGAGCTGCAGTGGAGGAAGGGCTTGGGTCCCGCTGGATCATTACTTTGGTATGTTACCCTGTTCCGTGAGGCCTCTTCTTTTCTCTAGGTATATGCAGTCTGGCGCAGCATTTTTTCCTGTTGCTTTTTTAGGATTAGCTGTATTAATTATATTTTCATACTATATGTGGTTCTGGGAAGAGGCCTCTGTCTCACCTCTCATGCTGTCATCTTTTTGGGGATCACAGATTAGATCTCTTATCTTTGACTACTCTCACAAATGATTAAATCTTCCCATCCTAAAAATCCTTTTCTTAACTCAGCTTCCCTCTGAACACCATCTTCATTACAAAACTCCTTAAATCAGCAGTTTATATCCACTGGATACATTTCCTCACAGCCATCTGATTTCTTCTCTCACTACCTGGTCCCAGCACTCTTAAGGAAACTACGCGTTTTAAGACACTGATAATGTACTACCTGCCAAACATACTGTTCTTGAGGCCTGCACAAGAGTACATCCTCATGGTTCTTCCTTTTTCATTGTTCTTTCAACAATTCCCCTTTTTCACCAATCCCCTTAAGTTTTTCTACATGTCCTAGCTTTGCTCACTTTGAACTCTTTTTCAGTACATGATCTCATGTTTTCAACTTTCATCTCTACCCCAAACACCTCCTGCTCTTATTTTTTTGAGCTACACACCCATGTTTTCTTTCTGCTGCACACACACACGAGTGCAGTATCCCCAAATCAATGTTGTAAACTGTTTTCCACATCTCCTTTTACAACCTGCCTCCCTGAAAAAATTTTAAAAATAAAACACCTCACATTTTTTTCTGAGTTAACAGCAAGTTTCCTCCCTGTTGTCTAAGAGCAGAACCTATTATTATTCTATTATTGCTGATATTTAAATGCAGATTCAGTCCATTTGTTTTGGGGCCTATACACACTTTTTGCTTATACCTTAGGAACAGCCTCCACATTAACTGCTTTATTTATTTCCTAATAATCAGATCAATCTTCCTAAAGCATATACATTCTGCTTAAAAAGCTCTTTATGCTCATTCTGCTTCCTATTTTTCAATCTTTGCATACCAAAGTTTTACTTATTCTTTACATGTCACTTTTTCCATGAGATCCACTTACACATACCTTGGCTAGAATTATTTATTTCCTTTTAATACCACTGCACATTTTCTGTACTACCACCATAGAAGTTTAATAAGCTGCCTTACATTGTCTGCCTTTTCTAAAAAGATTATGAGCCACTAAAACTAGGATACGTTAGTATCCTACTTCATGTTTCCAATGCACAAACGTCAGTTTTATGCACACACATACTACAGGTTCAGTTATTTTAAAAAAAGACTAACCTTATTCAGTTGTTCTTCCATTCCTGGTATCAACATTACACAAGCTACACACACTCCAATAAGTAAGAAAAACGCATAGATAAGCCTAGTTACAGTGGAGTTGTTTCCACTAGGACAGCATCGGCACAGCAAACATGGGGCACTGCCACATAAACATGGTATCTGGAAAAAAGAATATTAAAAATCAGTATAGTTTAAAATGATACAGTGTAAATTTACATTTTGTTCATTCAAAAAGGAAAAGGATGAAGTTAAAGTTACCAAGAGACCCAAAGTATTTATTTGGTTTACAAACATTATATATAAACTATAAAGCAGTAAGTGCTGGGTAAAAATGGGTTAAAGTAAACATTTAAGTGCCTGCCCTCCATTATCAAGCAATATGAATAAAATCAGTTAAAACAACAAAGGGGGAAAATCAGCAACAACCAAGGATTAGCTAAAAAAAAACAAACACAAAAAAAGGAAGAGTCATGATTACAATCTCCTCCCTAGCTCCTGTCCTTTATTCCTCCAGAATTCATACTGGTAAGTTCATAAAATTCTGAGAATTCTCAAACACCCCAGAGGAGAAAAAGAAGTGAATTGGTGGTATTCTTATCTTTTCCCTCTTGTGACTTAGTGACAGTGCTAACAATGAAAACTACTATCAGAATTAGGCAAAGTAGAGAAAGTGAGCAACTGGGGCTACTAGCTAACTTTCTCCAGTGGAACTCTGTGCTATGCCAGTGGTATACCCCAGGGGAACAGGATATTCCTCTGACCAGGAAAGTCGACTGCTGCAAAGCTGAATTTAACAATACTTCCAGTCCTTTAACTATAGCTCTTGGGTAAAAGAGTCTCAGGTAACACAGGAAGGAGGTATTACAGAAACCAGAAACAGTACAGCAACCAATATAAGGTAGCAGCAGACCTGTTTATAGTCAGTTTCAATAAGATAGAAATAAATATGATATGCAAGTATGCACATATATTCCAGTAAATAAATAAAAATAAGCACACCCCCTCACACTAAAAAAATAGGAAAGAAGAATCCAGTCTGAAACAAAACACAGTAAGAATAGGAAAATCCCTACAACTCCTTCACCTGAGCTATACAAAAATAACAAAAAGCAAATAAAAAGGAGAGTTCAAAAATGAAATGGAAAAACAACAGAACAAGATGGAAAGGTGATTGTAGGGCTAAGGAAAGAAATGAGAAGGGTAAAAACAAATAACTAATAATTAATTATCAAGAAACAGACAGAGCTGAAAATAAACACACTAATGGGAAAAAGCTTGGGATAATTACCATAAATTCAGGCTGAGATGGAGTTAACAGTGACCAGACATACCCTCCTGCCTTAGTCAATGGAAAACAAACAAACAATGGTTTTTCAGACAACCAGCAAAAGATAATGCAGCATAGCAATTTGTGTGTGGGAGAAAACAGTGTGAGCTCTATGACTGGCCCAACTTTATGCTGAGAAGTTTCCAGTGCAGGGAGGGGAATCCAGGCAAAGGCAGCAGCCTATATGAGTTGAAGAGACAGACAGCTGAGAGAGGGTTGGGAGTTCAGGGAAGTGACAGCAGCTAGAGTTGACAGGGCAGAATTCTAGAATGGAGAAAGCTTCACAGAGTGAGCTCTTAATATCTGAGGCTTCAACCTGAGTCTGAAGTAGATTGTTCAGTGCATTTGAATAAATTACCCCAGGAGGGGGAGGAGGTAGTGTTCCCAGCAGCCGGAGGGGAAAAACTGTGTAATTACTAGGCACTGACTGGGGTAAAAAAATCAGCCGTAAGACTTAAAAGCTGCCCCAGTTTCACTTAACAGAGCCTAAAAGCAAACATTTAAAAGATCAAATTCTCTTTAAGTAACCGCCTATATCCAAGAACAAGAACAAGAATATTAAACCAAGCAAACAAGTATATCCAGTATTTACCTATCAAAGTCAAATTTACAAAGTCTGTCATCTAATAAAAAATTGGCATTCATGCAAAGCAGCAGAAAAATATAATGTATAATGAGAAGAAAAGCCAATCAATCAAAAGCAACCTGGAATAACAGATGATTGAATTTAATTATAAATAATGACAATGTACTATTATTTATATCTCAAATACTCAAAGACATAAAGGAAACATGAGCATAATTTAAAAGATCCATCTCAAACTTGGATGGAAAAAGCATGGATGGCAAACAAGTACAGGCTCAGTATCATTAGTTATTAGGGAAATGTAAACTGAAACCATAATGAGATAGCACTACACATATACTAGAATGGCTAAAATCAAATGAACTGATACTACCAAGTACTGACAAGAATTCAGAGCAACTAGAACTCTTTTTCTGGTGGGAATGAAAATCTTAAAACAACCAGTTTGTCAGTCTAAGTCAAATGCTCATTTACCATATGACTAGCAATTCCACAGCTAGATATTTACCTAAGAAAAGTAAGCACTTAGTCACACAAAAAGCTTTTATGGGGATGCTTATAACTACTTTATCACTAAAGTCTGGAAATGCCATTCAGTTGGTGAATGGATGGATCAACTGGTGAATGGATGGATAAACTGTGCTTTGTCCAAGCAACGGAATACTATGCAACAAAAAAAGAAACAAACTACTAATACACTTAACAATAGGAATGCATCTCAAATGAATTTACTCTAAGTAAAAGAAGCCAGATTCAAAAGGCTCTATGCTGCATGACTCTATTTGTCTGACATTCTAGAAATGCAGAACTCTGAGACAGAAAAAATAGGGTTGCTAAGTGGAGAAGGCAGAATTTTTTAAGGTGGTAACTGTTCTGTAGTGGTTACACACCTACACAGTTTGTCAAAACTCAGAGAACTGTACACTACAAAGCATGAATTTTAAATATATAGTATGAACTAAAAAAATGACAAAAATATAGGAAATATAGAGGAAAAACAAAGACAATGTAACATGAAGGTAACTGGTATCCTTAACAAAGACTCCTCTAAATTAAAACAAAAAAGGACATTGAAAGATGCAATACAAAACTTCCTTAGATGAAGAAATGAATCTTTTCCAAAAGAACACTATTATTCATAAGAAAAAAATGACAAAAGACCACGTAGAGCAAATAAGTAAATTGCACCTGTGAGGAGACATGTTGGAAGAGGGTGGATAGATACCATGGCACTGTAAGACAGAATTCAATTCATAAAACCAACTACAAAGTTCTGAAGGTAACAGGTACACAATTATACCAGTCCACGTCTCTCAAGAATTTAACAGACATTTTAAAATATTAAAGAATTTTGGGATTTCAGCACCCAAGAATCCTTTTGAAAAATCTACTAGATATCAGAATTTAGTTAATTAGAAGATGACATTAAGATTTTTAAAAATTGAGGAAAAGCCATGGTAAAAAGGAATGCTTTGTGCTTTGAATTCACTTAAGAGTAGAGCAGAGGTTCTCAAATTAGCATGTATTAGAATCACCTAGACTGCTTAGTAAAACAGAATGCTAGCCCCTAGTCAGTGTTTCTGATAAGTCTGGTGTATTAATGCTACTGGATCCAGGAAACACAGTTTAAAAATGACTACTTTAGTTCTAGACTAAAAAACTGTGGGAATTATGGTTGTAAAACATAGTAACCACACAAAATACAAAGGACTTTTTTTTCAGTTAAAGGTGTTGAATATATGAATTTACTCATGCTCCCTTTAGAAACAACAATAAAATTAAAATAATGGGATTTTTAAAAGAAGGAATAAACTTAAAATGTCAGAAAGCACAGAATAAATCAGGAAGATACAAAATTATACCTGACTTAACAGGCAAAGTTGAATTTTAAGTCATCAAGGGAAAATTTTAAGCAATACAATTGTAAAGCAGAATCCTCAAACAGATCAGGAATTGGTGGCACCAGGTACCTCTACGAAACAAAAGGTAGAAGTGAAAGTAGGACTGGACAAGTGTCTTAAAAAAAAAAGTTAAATCTGATTTCATTCCATTTTTTGCTCAAACCAACTGAACAGTTTGAAGCAGGATTTTTCAACCCTGGCTCTACTGACATTTGGGCTGAATAATTCTTTGTTGATGGGGCTGTCTTGTGTATTGTAGAATGTTCAGCAGTTTCCCTAGCCTCTACCCACTAGTTTAGCACTCTTTACTCCAAATTGTGACAATGAAAAAAAATGTCTGCAGACATTGCCAAATGGCATTTGCGGGGCACAACAATGCCCAGTTGAGAGGCACTGCTATAGAAACACTCCTTAGAGGAATCTTTTTAACTCTCCTAATGAAATGTTTATTTTACTAACATTCAGCAATTCCTTTACTTTTATTTTTCTTTTGTTAAATTCAAGAAAAATTAGATTCAACGCTTGGATTAAAAATACATACTTAGCAATCCTACCATTCCAAAAAAGTACTTTTGTCCACTTATTCATCCATTTGTATATATGCATTGAGTGAGAAGGAATGTTGGTGGTGGGATTTTTTTGTGACATTTTACTTTGTGTTCTCCATTGTTTGACTATTCATAGCAACTATGAACCATTTCTTCAAAAAACAAGTCATTGTTGTAAATAATAATCTAGCAAAGGCTGGCACAAAACAGGCAGTAATCACTAAGCTCTTTCTTCTTAACTACTGAACTGCACTAAGTATCTTGGCCAAAAAATAATAGTTATTGTATACAAGGTCCTCTCATTCAAAAAATCAATTCTAGTCACAATATCATCATGAGATTGGGGTGGGGAAAAGCACTTAGGAAGGCATACATTGCTGGTAATGCACCTGCAGAATTAGCTGGGAGGTCCACAGATGCTTATGACAGTGTTTAATCAGAGAGACAGCCATGCATGAACCAAGGAAATGATCAATCTAATAATTCTAGGCCACTTAGCCAAAAAAGCCAAAATACAATAAAAAGTTTAATACTCCAATCTCTACACAATAATTTTACATGCACTTTTTCTTTTATACCTTTTTCATAGTTCAGGAATTTTCTAGTTGGTTTATAAATTAGAAAAACTTTTACAAAAATTGATTAAGCCTGAAGAAACCTGAGCAAAGGAAGGATGAAATTTAATTCTCGCTTAACTGATAAAATTTAATAACTTAAATACTTTTAAAAATTCGAATAAATCTAAAATTTGTCAAAACCTCTATGTAAATGAGCATATTGACTGTAAGACTGTGTTAGAATTAGATGTGTATATTACAAGGCAAATTCCCCTCCAATTGCTATCAAACTGCACTAACATTCAACAATTCAGGAACAGAGACAGAGGCATGGAGACAGGAAGGAATGGGAAAAAGATGACCAGAATTGCATACTACAGAATCAATTCCTAAACTGGCCACAATTCCTAGGCTAGAACCCTGAGAGCAACCCTAGCCACCTAGCTGTTCTCTCTGCCAGGTGTCTAACTACTGAAGGTAAGAATACTGACTTCTTGTTTTTCCAGCATACCTTGAAATTAACATAGACTAAATGGCAGTGTCACTTTTATCACAATTTTCTAATCAAAAAAGGTAAAGAATGAAATCGTACAAACATTAACAGGAATACAATTCTTCTCATATTCCTCTCTAAAGCTATTTGCTTTCTGATTTAAAATACATATATTTTAAAAAATCCTGAAAACTTTTTTGTACTGTAGTTGTCCTTGAGGCTCGTTGCTCATCATTGATCTGAAGATGAGAACAAAATGGAAAACATGTAGCCTTCCTTTTAAATCTTTACAACATATAAAGAACATGCCAACTAAATAACTGGGACAAAATCAGACTTCACAATAAAACTAGGCATCTCCCTGCCTCCCCCCAGAAAACAATGAAAACAATCTTATAATCATTTATTATACTGTAATACACTTTACTTACTACACTAAATATGCCTCTTCTGCATAAAAGTCATTCACTCAAGTAGGTTTTCTAAATTTCTTACTGAGATAAAAATGAACAAGATTTCCAGGTCCAACTACAGGAAGAAATATAATCAAGAAAATAATCTGAGTTAGAGTTAACAACCTCCACCTATTATTTTATTAAAATTTACACTTATAGTTCAAACCACATCAAGAACTTTTTGAAAAAAAGGCAAGGTATATAAAGTAATCAAAATGCTGGCTAATGTACATAATGGAGTAATCTCGAAAGTCAGACAAGCAATTCTTAAGGTGGAAGTCATAAATCATGGAATAAAGAAATGATTTGAACCCAAGTATCTCACCCAAAATTACAAATACCTTACACTGTAATGTTAGTGTTTTGTCTGGGCTGAGGGGAAGATTATCTGAAACTGAAGTTTGTGCCCCGAATCAAGAAATCTCGCCACTTATAATGAAACATGGCTTCACTCTAACAATGCATCTAATCAAAATGCCACGCCTGATTAAACATAAAACTTCAGATGCTTAACGTTAAAATACACAAGATTTTTTAGTATCAGAATTGACCAGCTTTTCCAGATGAATTATTATTTGAGAAGTACAATTTCCTCATCCCATTTAGGTCGAAGACCCAGTCGCAGAGAAAGGGCTATTCATTCCAGAACGTTATTTCTAGGTCTCTCTAACTGCCAGGCTGCCCCAAATAACGGGCACTTAATTGTAGTCTGCGCGACATAACAAAGAGGTCGACAAGCCTCCAGGGATGACAGTGCTGCAGTCTGAGGTCGCTGGGAAGAAATGACAGGAAGAGATGCGGTATTCCACTGAAGGAAGAAGCCTAAGACCTTTGCAGAGATGGCCGGGCAAGACAAGAAAAAAACAAGGGCCTGGAAGAATGGGAAGCAACTTTGACGAAAAACGAGTCGGGGAGGAAGACTACCAGTTCTTTTCACTTCATCCCCACTACTCCGCACGGCCACCTCGGTCAGCTCTTCGTAAAACTCACGGCCCAAGGGCGAATCAGAGTGACCAGGGGAGACAGGGAGAAAATGCGGGCGGAAGGCACTCCCCGTTGGGTGGGGTACCACGTTCCCGCTGGGGCCTCAACAAGCTCGCTCGCGTCGCTTTTTCTTTCACCTATTGTGCTAGCACCCCGAAAGCCGCCAAGGAACATCTTACCCAGCTTGCCATGGAGCACAGCCCCAAGACGCTCCCCATCTCCACAACGTCGTAAAGACAACGGACGCCGACAAAATGGAGACAACCACTCTCCTGCTTCCCAGGGCTTATTTACTTCTGGAGCCACTTCCGGCGCAGAGCCTTTCCCCGCCTTGCCAAGTGAGCTTTGCGTCACTTCCTTCGAGGCCCGGGCCGGGTGGGACGAGGAGTACGTCACGCTGAGATTGCGCAGGCGTAGCCCGGCAACGCGAGGGAGTGTCCTTGACCGCGGAGTCCTCGAATATCCTCGGTTCGGAAGCGTCCGGCTCCCGCTCGCTGAGCATAGTTTGGCACATTAAGAAAACGTTGTAAGGAAAAAAAACCTTGTAATTACTGTTTATTTGATTGGGACATTAGTAAAGGATAGACTTGTGGTTGATCTTTTGCCATCGTCCTTCAGAGGAACCTCTCAACTGCTTTCGGACGATTGCTTTCCCTTTCTAGATGGACAGCCGACCCATCTCCACTCACCTTTCGTTTTCTCCACTTTTGCATCTTTTTCCCCACTTACATTACAGTTTATTCCTGTGCCAGTCTGGATGCTTCCATTTCTTTGTATCAATTATGCTTGCCGTTGAAAAGCATTTAAATCTCTTGTTCTGTTAAAATGTTACAAGAAGCACATTCAAAGATTTTAAATTACGTAAGAAGATAGACTCATTATAAAAACGCAACATAGTATTTTTGTTGAACTTCACGATCTGTTGAGACATTTGGAACCCTTGCTTATTAGGGGGTAATGGACATCTGCAGGAATGTATTTGTATAGAAGTTCTAGTTCTTGTTTTTGTAGGGATTGGTCCTTGAAGATATTGTGGAAGAAGAGTGGTACACAGAAATAACTGGAACTTGAAATAGTTGTTGTCATAACTAATAATAAGGTGTCACAGAATCTACAAAAATTAGATTGGTAAAGGCAAGGGAACACCTAAAAATCTGAGAGAACTGTAACTCTAGGTAGCAAAAAGCAAGGAATGGGACTGGATAGAAGACAATGGGTTTACTTTGGACATGTTGGCGGTGAAGTCTCTGAAATGCTACTCCCTCAGCACCTGAAAATGCCAGCTTGAAAGCCAAGCATTAATGAAGCACAAAATTTAAAATAATTTATATTGTAGTTGAAGATTTTACCTAAAAACAAGAAACCAGTTCATTCCTTTGAAAGTGAAAGCTCATGATAATCTGTGCTTGCTGACTTCTTGAAATGCTGGCAGTTTGGCCCAGTTCAGAGATTCAGAAAACATGACATGAAAGTCAGTTCTTCTGAAATGGCTACTCTGGCTCCATTTTAAAAATGGCTCTACTTATGTCATTTTTCACAAAGATACAGGATTGAGGAATATAACCAAAGATAAATGTTGTAGAGTTACAAGTAGCCTTAATATGGAACCAAAAAATTTAACACTGGAAGACTTAACCAGGCAGAAAGAAGCTATTGTTAGTTGTTAACCTGACTTGGGTTGTTCATGTTATCTCCATACACCTTTCCTTCTAAGTTCTGCATTTTATATTCTTTAATAATTTGTGCAAATACCTTTAGTAAAATACTTCACAAAATTTCATTATTTCATTGTAGTATATCAACCCTAAAGAGCTGTATCAGATTAGATTATGCAGTCTTATAAATGATAGCACCATGTATAGCAAGCATATTATAGACAATCAATACAAACTGATTTCCTCCATTTTTTTCATACCAAGACTAACTAGCATCTGTGGCTTGCCAACCTGGGACAGACAGACATAGTGTATATCGGAAGAGCTACTTCAGTTTCTCAGATAATGTACCTAGGTTACCTAACATTTTCCAATCTATATCCTTGGGATGGGTATCATATTGTGATCATATTGTGATATATCATGTATCATCTTAGATTTTGATAACGTGGAAGCTTACTTCCTAGATTTCCTTAGTAATTTTATGGCTGTAGCCCAGATAGCTTTTAATCTTCATTGATCATCAAGAGATCCACTCAGTTGCAGTTCTAATCTTGGAGCTGTGTCTTTTCTTCAGATAGGCCTATAGTAATTTATAGGAGTAATACTTCTTATATATAGATCCAACAATAGAGTAGTATCTTCACTATACAAGTGAAGCTTCTATACAAGTTTCTTTCATCAAGATGTGGGAGGATACTTTGGGGAATCTGCAATGGGAGATCAGAAGAGTATCCACTAAATCCATTTAAGGAGTGCATCTGGCAGAGAGGTTCAAGAAAGAGTCCCAGATCCACAGTTTCATCTCTGTAAGGGCATTTATCTAGATTGGTTGTCAATGGACTTAAATGCAAGATGTCAAAGTGTGAAGTGTGTATTAACCAATGAGCTATAAACATCCTCAATATTTGAAATATTTTGACATACAAAAAAAACCAGAATAATGTCATAACCATGAACTTTCCACTGTCTTCAAGAGAAATAAAATATTACAAATAGAATTGCTCTTGATTACATTGTTCCTTCCCCTCTCTCAAGAGATGATCATAGTGAATTAATGTTAATGACCAATTAACAATCTGTGCTACAATGTCTTCAAATTACTAATGCAAATTGCTCTTCAAAGTAGTTTTACCAATACAGAAGGTCCCAGATGTAGCAATGGTTCAACTTATGATTTTTTTTTTACTTTAGGATGAAATACAGTTCGGTAGGAACTGTACTTTGAATTTTGGATTTTGATCTGTTTCCAGGCTAGGAATATGCTGCATGATATTCTCTCATGATACTTGACAGTGGTAGCAAGCAGCGGCTCCTAGTCAGCCATGAAATCAAGAGTGCAGATAACCAATACATTTAAAACCATGCTGAACCCATACAACCCTTTGTTTTTCACTTTGGCATTGTATTAAGTAAGTTACATGAGATATTATACACTTCATTATAAAATAGACTTTGTGTTAGATGATTTTTCTCAACTGTAGGCTAATTTAAATATTCTGAGCTAGGTAGGATAGGCTGTTATGATGTTCAGTAAATCAAGTGTATTAAGTGCATTTCAATTTACAATATTTTCAACTTACCATGGGTTTCTTGCAACATAAACCCATCATAAGTGAAGGAAGATCTGTTTACACTTACTCCATTGGTATATGAAAATTGCTCCACATCTTTGGTAGGACTTGGGCTTGTCACATAATTTAGCTAACATGAGAGAAGTAATATGATTCATTATGCTATTGATTTCATTTCCCTGATAACCAGTAACTTTAAGAACTTTTGTTTATTGACCATTAAGATATCTTCTATATAAAGTGTCCTTTCAAGCCTTTTGCTTATTTATCAATTAGGTTATTTATCCATTCTTTATTGATTTAATATATTTTTGGATACAAATTCTTTGTTATATGTGAGCAATTACCATACTGGAGGGTTCGGACTTACTCTTTCACTTTTTTTATGGTGTCTTTTGCTATCAGTATAGCATTAGAATTTATTATATTATAGATCATGTTTAGCAAATTCGACCCTTAATTTACATGATTTTGTTTTTGAGAACTCCTTACTAGTATCAAGATTTTAAAGATATTTTCCTCTGTGTATTTTATTCTAAATTTTAAAGTTTTGCTCTTCACACTTGTGCTTTTAGTCCACTTAAAACTGACTTTAGTGTATCGTGTGAGATAGAAATTCAATCACTGCTGTGCTGGTAAATGGGCTCTCCAAGGGCAGGGAGGGGAGGGATATAACTCTCATTTGTAGCATTTGCTTATTTCCATGGCATAATACCTCCACTATAGCTGATTCCCATCTAACAATGGTTTAAGAATGTACCTATGAAATTCTTGGCTGTTAATCAACTGGTCAGTGTGATCTAGCTTCAGCATACCATTAGGTCCAATTGTATTTTAGTTTTTCTTATGGATAAACAATTGCCCTTGTGCAAATTAGAGAATACTGCATCCTTTTCCCCGCACTTGTAATACCATTGCTGTCATGTGTCACATTTCCATGCACATATGTCTGTTTCTGAACTCTGTTCTATTTTATGGATTGGATTGTTTGTCCCTGTGTCTCTAATACATAGTTTTAATTATAGTTACTTTAAAGTGAGTCGATATCTGGAAGAGTGAGTTTCTATACCCTGTTCTTTTCTTCAAACTTGCTTTGGTTATTCTTGGTCCTTTGCGCTTCTCTATGTATTTTAGAATGAATTTGTCAAGTTTGAGTGATTAATTATATGGTCCCAGAAACCATAAGACTGGGCATATTTTAGAAGGATGTGGTAAATTTTACTATAAGCTTCTTGATGGGTACAGAGTTTCTTAACAAGTCATTTGCATTTTTAGTCAGACAATAATATATGAGATTATGCTTTAGGGGGCAGATTTGTTAGCATTCTTAATCTCTACTCATTAAATGTCAGAATTATTCACTACTCCTAATTAATATGATACCCAATAAAGAGCAGTATAACTGTTGTTTGAAAACCAGTGGTAAAATAAAATAGGAATTAATTATTGATTGTAGTTAATTGAGGTCTCCTTGTCAGTTATGAAAGATGAAAATAATGAATCAAAAAAAGAATGAAAAAATTTTTCATATTTCAACCCAGACACAATTCAAAACATAGTTTCTTTCCCCCATACATACCAACAATTTAGTAGGAACCCAAGTTTCTCCAAGATACTTATAGCACAAGCCAAAGTCATAATGCCAAAGCACAAATGAGCAAAAGTAAATAAATTAGAAGTTTAAAAAAATGCTACTCAATTGCTCTTCTCTCTTAATGGTGTGACCTGATTCAGGGATCGACTAGAACATCTCAAGTGAACAGTTTCCAAAAGCTTTAGATTATCAAATTTTTGAAGCTTAATAAGGAGTCAACCCCAAAAAGATTTTAAATTCATTTGGGTGGTACCATGTATTACATTTTTGTGATTGAGTGGCATGTTAATATTTTGAAGTATTTAAGAATTCCTGCCATCCTAATGTTTTCTAAACTTATTTGACTGGAAAGAGCTTTTTTCTTTCCATGAAACATGTATTAATATCCATCAGAATTAATATTCTGTGGAATATACTTTAAGAAATGTTAATGGAGGAAAGGATGGACTGTATAGCCTTCGGGCAATCTCTTAAAATATCATTTTTCGTAACTTAGCTTTTGATTGAAGAT